CCCAGCGACACAGGAGCCGGTCGCGCGCGACCCAGTACTTGCTTTTTCGCGTTTTTCGCTTTTTCGCGACCTTCGGCAGAAGGCCCCAAGAAGCGGTCATCCCCCTCCAGAACGATCCACATCCCGACAGTTTCGTGCAGCAGGAGAGGGCATCCAGGTGTCCACTCATCCAATCATCCGCATGCCCTCCCAAGACTTGTCCTCCCTCTTTCCCGCCTCTTTTCACCGGCCCTTGCCTCAGCGTCAGCTCACGTCTTTCCCTCGGCGTACTTCTCGTGCGTGGAGGCGGCTTGTCACACTCTGAACGCATGTACAGCCATCATACACAAATACTGAATGAGTGTGTTTTGGTCTTTTCTGGATGCGCTGGCCTTCTTCCATCCTAGCTCTGGGCAGGAGGAGACATGGATAATGACATGACATTACAAGCCATTCAAAGACGCTCTACACGCTCTCAGTGACAATGCGCCTTCGTGTCTCATTGCTCGTCTGGGTCAGTCATTTGTCAGTGTCTGGTTGCCCGCCAGTATTTTGCCACGGCAGACACCTACAAGAAGACAAGCAGGCAGGCGCGTCTTATCTTACATGTTCAGTGCCCCTGCGAGTGTGCAGGTATAGTGTGGATGATGGGCTGATGAATGAATAAATAAATCATGTAATGAACTTGCACCGCGGATTTAGGCGATGGAATACACATATTTACGTTGAACCGTCCGAATACGTATGCTCACTACCGGTCGAGGACGTCCGTCATTACAGTATCGAAGCAGCAACAATGTTCAGCCAACCCACGGCCACGCTTGATGTGCCCCTGGTCCAGCCGGACTGCACGTGGTGTTGAGAAGCGTTTGCCAGCCGGTGATGAGGTTCAGGCTGCGCGGCGACAGAAAAGTTTTGGGAAGGATTTAGCAGAATCCATGTCTAAATCAAAATCAAAATTCGTCCACATCTGTTGTCCAAAGAATTACACCGAATTACAAAAGGGCGTGTGGGAGTGAAAATGACTTGGGCGTGGTGTCTGTGCACGTGATGTGCCCGCTCTTGTGTACCCGCCCGAGACGGCAGGTCACACAGACACCCGTACACACCAGGCGCCAAGTTCAGAAGGACAAATCACCTGTATGCTCATCTATCGACATGCACACGCGAGCACGCATCACGTGACAGCCACTTACCTGCGAGTGACATGAGGACAGATGGGGTGAGACGTAAAAGGGCAAATGACCTTTGTGCAGACAGAAACATGTACATGTACTCAGCCACCACATGAACTCTCTTGAGGGAGATGTGTGTGTGCAAGCAATTCCAGATGTGCAGCTCGCGAGGTCATTGCCTGCAAGCACCACTGGCTACCGAGCGAGATGAACGATCACATCCATGCGGACACACATGCAGATACACAAATCGCACCAGAGAGCAAGTGCAACACATAAACACCGATAGACAGTGCAAATGGGACGCGCATACACACGTTCACACAAGGGTGTTTTGCGTGTAATGCACGCCCGCTCTGCACACGGGAGCAGGGCGGTCGCCTTCCGTTGCATTTGCAAAAACGAATAGGACGGAAGCAGACGAAAAAGAGTCACGCACACACACACACACACACTCCGACAAACAGCGTAGAGCACGATGCACACCTTTCATATGTATGAGCCAGCCAAGTCAGCAAGGCCAGTCCTCAGTCGCGGCCGCCTCTAAAGTCCTTGAGGGCCTGCTCGAGCACGGTCATGAAGCCGTTCTCCTGTTCCGCCTGGATGTCGGCCAGCTGTTTCTCCAACGACTCGACTCGCTTCTGCAGCTGCTGGACTACGGTCATCTGCAGGTAGCTCATGTAGTCCATGTTGACGTAATGGACCTCGGTCGTGGTGGAGTTTGCGCCATCCCTAATGGCCTCCTCGTATGTGCGCACGGCATCTAGGACAGGAAGAATTAGAGACAGAAGACCATCACACGTCGGCAAGAGTGTGCAAGAGTACCTGGAAACACCTTCTGAACCTCTTGGGCTACTACTCCTGGAGACAAACGGGCAGAGGGAGTGCGTCTTAGTCTCTGCTTGACATACGTGCCGAGCATTCCTTCCTTTCCGACTCACCTATCTCCCAGTGGTCCTCCTCGGCCCCGGAGCGCATCTTGATCTTCTCTGAGTCCCAGGGGAAAAACTTGAGATGCAGATCGGCGAACTGGACACGTCGGACACCAAATGTGTGTCGTCGAACACGCCTTCATGTGCAGTAACTCACCTTGTCGTATACTTCTTCACTGAACTCAGGGCTCATATCCTGCAGGCAAGCAGGTAGGCAGCCAGACAGACAGGAAGTGTCGTGTTTTCTTGTGGACGTCATGAGACATGACCGACCCCTCACCTGCAGGTCAGTCTTGAATTGCTCGTCAGAGATGCTCTGCTCGTTTGTCCTGAAGATGTTGGTCGCGTACACGCTGCCAATGCGGAACTCAAAGCCACATCCGATGGAGCCTGACGCGCACACACAAGATGAGACTCACGTGCCCAGGGATAGCCTGCCTATCCTTCTGAGCTCGCCCACCCTCATCCGGTTGAACTTCTCCAGTGTTGACGTCGGCAACCGCGAGATAGGGTGATTCGAGGGGCAAGGTAGAGCAACTCTGCTCAGACCACTCTCGGTCGAACAAGGTGAAGCTGCTGAGTTCAGCCGCGCCCGCACGCGTGACGCACACGATGGCAAGGGCGACGAGCACAATGAGGGCACGCATCGTGACGGCAGCTGCAGAGAAAAGGGCGGGAAGGACGGACGGGTGAACGAGGAATGCTGTTGCAAAGGTACAGTGAGCCGTACTGTACGTGCCACAACGGAAGTGCACGCTGTGTGAGATTTCTCGACGACCGTTGTGGTAAATTGCCGAGACATACGTATGCTCACTACCGGTCAGAGGACGTCCGTCATTACAGTATCGAAGCAGCAACAATGTTCAGCCAACCCACGGCCACGCTCGATGTGCCCCTGGTCCAGCCGGACTGCACATGTGTTGAGAAGCGTTTGCCAGGCGGTGATGGTTTAGGCTGCGCGGCGACAGAAAAGTTCTGGGAAGGATTTAGCTGGCCCGTCAGGAGAGGCACCGACAGAATCAATGTCTAAATCAAAATGAAAATTCGTCCACATTTGTTGTCCAAAGAATTACACCGAATTACAAAAGGGCGTGTGGGAGTGAAAATGACTTGGGGGTGGTGTCTGCGCACGTGATGTGCCCGCTCTTGTGTACCCGCCCGAGACGGCAGGTCACACAGACACCCATACACACCAGGCGCCAAGTTCAGAAGGACAAATCACCTGTATGCTCATCTATCGACATGCACACGCGAGCACGCATCACGTGACAGCCACTTACCTGCGAGTGACAAGAGGACAGATGGGGTGAGACGTAAAAGGGCAAATGACCTTTGTGCAGACAGAAACATGCACATGTACTCAGCCACCACATGAACTCTCTTGAGGGAGATGTGTGTGTGCAAGCAATTCCAGATGTGCAGCTCGCAAGGTCATTGCCTGCAAGCACCACTGGCTACCGAGCGAGATGAACGATCACATCCATGCGGACACACATGCAGATACACAACCAGAGAGCAAGTGCAACACATAAACACCGATAGACAGTGCAGATGGGACGCGCATACACACGTTCACACAAGGGTGTTTTGCGTGTAATGCACGCCCGCTCTGCACACGGGAGCAGGGCGGTCGCCTTCCGTTGCATTTGCAAAAACGAATAGGACGGAAGCAGACGAAAAAGAGTCACGCACACACACACTCCAACAACAAACAGCGTAGAGCACGATGCACACCTTTCATATGTATGAGCCAGCCAAGTCAGCAAGGCCAGTCCTCAGTCGCGGCCGCCTCTAAAGTCCTTGAGGGCCTGCTCGAGCATGGTCATGAAGCCGTTCTCCTGTTCCGCCTGGATGTCGGCCAGCTGATTCTCGAGTGCCTCGACACGTTCCTCCAGCTGCTGGACCACCTCAGTACGCTTCTGCAGTTGCTGGACTACGGACATCTGAAGATAGTTCATATAGTTCATGTCGATGTAATGGACCTCGGTCATGTTCGAGTTTGCGCCCCCTCCCGTGGGCTCCATATACACATTGACCGCATCTGGGAGAATGCACAGACACAGACTCATCACGCGTCCGCAAGAAGAGTGCGTGTCCGCTCGTCCCCTTGCCTGGAAGCACTCTCATGATGTCTTGGGCAGAGACACCTGCGCGCACCGCACGGCACCCACGGGCAAGGACAGGTTTCCTTTTGCTCGACCCATGCGTCAACTTACCGATGTGCATTCGGTCCTTCTTGTCTTCAGTGGAACCCATTCGGTTCCACTGAAATTCTTTAAGACGCAGTGTGGCGAACTAAACAACAAGAGGAGCACCATGACGTCCGTAGACAGCTTCATGACGAAGCGAAGCAGCTCACCTTGGAGTATGCGTCTTCCTTGAACTCACGAGTCACATCCTGCAGCAGGCAGCGAGGTGGGCAGGACACAGGAGTGTCTCACGTCTTTGTTCTTCACTCTCTCACCTTCATGTTGGTCTTAAATTGCTCGTCAGATAGGCTCTCCCAATCCGTCGCAAAGATGCCGGTGGTATAGACACTGCGGATGCTTTGCGCAGCACTGCAACCGATTGTCCCTCTATTCTCTTGCTTTTCTCCAGTGGCAACGTCGGCAACCCCTATATATGGGTCGGGAGAGAGAGAGCAAGTGTTTTCGGCCCATTCCCTGCTGTACACAGTGAAGCTGCTGAGTGGAGCTGCATCCGCACACGTGGCACATACGAGGAAAAGAGCGACGAGCGAAATGAGGGCACGCATATCGCTTTGGCGGAGCACGCAACGGAAAGGGACGCACGGTCCACCTCTCGGAGGCGACGACCGTTGGGGATGGTACGCGTTAGAGCAGACATTCCTTCTGAATTGCCAGGCAAGAGCTCTAGGGTGAATAAACCGATGACTCGCATGCCGAAACGAATTGAAGGACACAAAATCGGCGGTGGTGCGAAGGCGAGGCCCGAAGGGCCGAGCCGAGCACCGACTAGCCAGTGGTTGAGTCAACTGCGGAGGGCAGAACCCACTGAGTCTTGCAGTTGGCTATCCAACATATGCATATGGAGAGCACCATATGGAGAGCACCATCCACAACCCCTGACTTCCAACCATGGATTGCCTCTTGTCGATCAAAGGCCCGGGATGGAATGCGTATCAATGAGTCAAGCGCGAGGACTCGAGATTGAATGAATAAACGTCAGGCGTGAAACTTTCCAGGCCTTTCATTGTGTACAATGGACTCAGACAAGCATGTGTATGACTCCCCAGCCACCACGCAGCTCTCATTGAATGAACGAGAAATTCCAGCGTTAACGAAGTGAGACATCATCCCTCAAGCGCGTCGAATGACTCAGGTGAGCATAAAGCTTAACCACCGTCTTCTCAGCGTATGAGTTCTCAACGAGGGCATCCACACACTCAGACAAGCGACGTATCAGAGAGAATTCACCGTGACCCGCCGAATCATCGGCATCAAACCAAACACAAGAACTTCAGGCACGAGCAACACACACTGTGTCACCCAGCGACAGACACCGACAGCCAGTCAGTCAGTCAGTCAGTCGGTCAGTCAGTCAGACAATCAGCCGAAAAACTGGCTCATTCGTCACTTCGAGAATTCCTGTATGTGCACAGGCCACGGGACACATATGGACCGCTTATTCGATATCCACACGGACGCAGCGTCTGTCAGTTTGTTTTGTTCTTTGTAGGAAGCATTCACAAAAGAGAAGACTACACACACACGCACACAGTTATGGCAGGCCGCGACAGTCTTAGCCTAGGTCATTCAGAAAGGTCTCGCATTTGGTTATTGCTCGAGACGGAAGCTGACGACCAGCCCATCTCCTTTGTGGCCCTCGCCCCACAGCAAAATGTCCGTCAGTGTCCTCTCGCTCGGACCCATCCTCCGGTCCCTCTCGACACCGACTTGCTCATCTTTGCCGTCGCTGCTCAAGTGCAATGTGTACAGACGCGAGGCCAAGTAGGTCTTGGACGGATCGAGAAAATCGAGTGGAATGGACGAGACAACCCGTGTGTCGACTGTACCGCTGACCACGCCAAGCCACCAATCGTCGCCCTTCTTCCTCGCCAGCACAGTCATGTCTCCTATTTTTGAGGGAGGGAGGACCCTCGTGACATCCCATGTCGTGGGAATGTCGGTAATGATGTCAGTAAACTTCTGCTCGAGAATCACTCGGGGCGCCTCCGCAAAAGTCTGTATTGGCGAGTTAAATGTCACGAGGAGGGCCACCTGGTGCACCTGAGTTGTCCCTTGTCTTATGTGACCCAATGACAGTGGCGTATAGTCCGCAGCGCCCGTTGGAAACCTGTACGCAATGACGGGGACCAGGGAAAGATACAGATAGGGGAATGATACCTTGTGAAGGTAAGAGCAGCGTTGTGGGAGGGCGGAATCTTGCCGAGCAGAATGGAAAGACAGAACAAAGTGAGTTTCTATGCCTGTCGAGCATCTTCTCAGCAACATCTTGTGCGCTCAAACACATGATGCTCATTTTACCTTGTCCAAGATTGCTGGGTTGTGGTTGATCTGAACAGAAGGCGTGCGAAAAAAAACGTGTGTGCTCTGCATGCCAGCAATCGACTGTGCCCACCTCCAGGCCCCATATCGCCTCCTGCGTTATAAGGTTTGGGTACGTACGTGACTCTCCGGTAGCCTTCTGCAACACACAGCAGAAACACAGGGCAAAGAGGTTAATGCGGCCACAGTTGAACTGACTCGCTCAAACACCTGTATCCCATGAAAGTTGAGGAGGAGCTTTCTTTTGGCAGCTTCACGTAGGATGGTCTCTTGCAGCAAAATGGTGTTGAAGCTGGCCGCGTCAAAGAAATCAAACTTAACTCCTGCACAGGACGAAGACCGTGAAGAAAGAGTATTCGTCTATCTCAGTCTTACCCACAGCACCAGCGTCTTTAACCAAATCAAGGAAGTCACGAAGGGCTTTGTAATTGTCGGCAGGATCGTCCACTTGTTCACGGTGCTTCCACAGAAAGATGCCCACTCCCTTCGAATCTCCATATGCTGTGAGCTTCTTAACACTCTCCCAGGGGCCAGGCCAGTCCTCCCAACCTGACAAACCGCATTGGAACTGCACACGGCCACCGAATCCGTTCCAGCGTCCCCCCATCCCTACCGATATCGACCGTCGAGTACTCCAGGGCTAGCGCTGCCGCTCCCGTCACTTGATCCCATTCCTGCGCAATCCAGAAGGTGCGGCACAGCACCCACTCACTAAGCAAAAGAGCGTGATGTCTATTTCTGTCCACCTGCTCATAGAGTAGAGGGTGGCCACAGGTAGGAGACGCGAGGCACGTCCACACCGACCTACAATCACAGAGGAAATCGACACATTCCGCGCCCGCTGTGGCGAGCCGACCTGCCTGGTTTGATGTAGGATGTCTCAGTGAAGAGTCCCGGGTTGCGCTCATCCGGCGAAGGATTCAGGTCACTGACGAGGTCTAAGGTAATTATCCAAATTGACGCACTTGTGACAGGCTGAGGTGAGGCTGTCATAATTATTACTGTGATTGGCCAGCTGGTCCAGATTTGCAGCCAGTTGAATCACTCGCCAAGACGTCTTCACGGGAAGCTCCAACTCCAGCGGCCCCCATAAGTTCTGCTCCTGACGTGCATACTCTAGCCCCCTCGCGAGCTCGCTTTTGAAACCGACGCCTCCAGGCAACGCCACCAGATGAAAGCCCTCAAAACCGAAGAGACTAGCCTCATTGATCACAATATAGGGGAATGGGCTGCTCCTGCTAGAATCCTCAATCGTCACGGGTGTGTTGTAACGGTCTATTGTGCCGCCCTGTGAGCTCCGAGACCACAGCGAAGCTGCCGGTACACTCATGTACTGGCCGATGTAGGAAAAGAGGCCGTCACGCCTCTCCACAATCCATGCATTGTCCGTGTCGCCGAATTCCATGACGAATTCAGAGCCGTCGTCCTTGATTCGAATTTTGTCTACAGTGGCGTCATCGCGAAAAGCGTAAAGAAATGCCACGCCAGGAGAACCTGCTGCTGATACGCGAAAGTCAACAGAGTACGTCAAACCAGTGGGAACGTGACGAACGCTGTATGATGCTTCCACTGAAAACAGAACCAAAGAAGACACACACAGGTGAAGTCCAGACTTTGTCCAGACGAATAGAGCTCACCGTATTGGCTGTTTGCAGTGGCATGACCTCCCATGGTGGAATATGTCTGAGAGGCTTCCCTGGGCGGCGATAATACCTCCACTTGCACATTGTCACCGAGGTGGACCTCTTGGCCGTAGTGATCCAGAATGAGCCCGAGAGCCGACGGGGCCACAATCTTGTGAGGCCCAGAATACACCTCATACTTGAGCTTGTTCTCAGGATCGACAAACAGCCTCACTCGAAGGGGCGTTTCCTGTTCTGACGTGGCCCAGGACGGAGAGAGCGTGGTGTCGAAGCCCTGCGCATCACAATGGGGAGTGGCCCAGAAAATGACCAAGATGATACAGAGCAAAGTGAACATGACGGCAAGAGTCCGTGCGCCCTTCTGGCAAAAGTCCGCGAGGCCGTCCTCCTCCACGCCCAAAATACGTATACAAACATAACGGTCGGAGTTAGGGTAAGTCAACCAAAAAGGACACGGTTGTGAGCGGCCTCCCCCAGTCGGTGATGGTAAGCAAAGAACAATGACGGGTGGCTGCCATGCATACGTACGTACATTGCTTGTGTTCAGGAGTTCCCTCTTGCCGAATGCCACACCGCCCGCCGGTTGACCTGACTACAGGAGCGGCACTCCACGACAAATAGCTCCACGACGGACCTTCACCGGACGTTCGTTCATCCAATTGCTCTCGAATCACATCGGATGGTCTAACCACACGAGGGACGATATATGTTAGAATCTTCCCTTGTCGTCCCGTTTGTCATCCTCACGTCATTGACTATTTATCACGCCGACGTCCGTGCCTTCAGTACCTCTCCCTCCCCCGCGTCATCATCACTACGCAGCCGGTCAGAATGACAATATATATGACGCACACAATCGATTCGATTTGACGTTATTCTTCTTCAGAATCGTCATTGCGGGAGGTGGCCCATGCGGATTAGCGCTAGCTCATTTTCTTGTTCGAAGAGGATTCAACATCACGGTATGTTCCCGATGGCTTTATACGTGTACCTTCTGATTGTCATGTTTAGGTCATCGAGAGCCGGGGCGATCCACGAGGAGAGCCCCTCGGTATGTGGCAGCGCAGCAGCTACTCATGTGAAAGGTGCCTGTCATCTCTTTTCAGGTCCCAGGCAGTACTCCTTGGGTCTGAACATTAGGGCTCGTACGACGCTAAGTGGACCCAATAATGGATCAGTTTGGGACGCAATTAAGGACCAAGGAGTCGAGTCCGATCGGTTCTTCGTCCATCTCGGCACGAGGATCAAGCTCAACATTCGGCAGAAGCGCAGCGGCGCACCCCCATCCTTGCTTATTAGCAGGGGATTACTCTGCAGTGCTCTCCTCGATACACTGCAGAAATTCGTGGCCGATGGACGCCTTAAGTTGATGTTTGCCAAGAGAATCGACAAGGTCGATTTGGCCAACCGGAGGGTGATACTACGCGGTTCAGACGGGGAGGAACACTCGACGGTCCCGTATGACTTCCTCGCGGGTGGCAATCGTGCTGTCGCTCGTGAGCCAGCTAACAGCAGCATCCGTGTGGATGTCGTGTCTCACAGGGTGCGATGGAGTCCGAAGCGCTGTGCGTGCGTCGCTGGTGGAGGCCTGGCCACAGCATATGAAGGAAGATGTCGAGATACTGGGTATGGGGTAGAGCCATCTGTTGCACGTGCATATATTGTTTGTGTCTCTGGAATGCAGGTGGGGAGGGAAGAGTGATGCACGTGCCATGGCCAGCAGGTTTAAACAGCCGACACAACCAGAGTATACAGTGTTCTCTTGATATACTTTGATTCGCGTCACAATTGCCTGCAGCTCTCGAACCGAGTGCCATCCACGCCATGGCTTCTTTCAGCGCCGGATTCGGCTTGTTCATTATTCCAGGCCCTCACAACACATGCTGGTAAGCTTTACCTTTCACGAAGTTTGCTCCTGCATCTTCTGCACTGTACTGTACTTGTGTGCTTGCAGCACACTGGTCAGTTGGAGCGAAGAACGGCCACCTGCCCTCGCCAATGCAACATCACCACAAGAAGTGCAGCGAATAATCGCTGACGCTTTTCCACAGTTCGGGAAAGCGCCTTTATCGGCCTGTGAGCAATTCCTCAACCAGGAGCGGCTCATTTCAGGGATCGTGAGGTGCGATTCGTACTGGGACAACGGGGAGGGTCGGGTGATTATCATGGGTGATGCCGCACACTCCACTGGCGGGCGGTTGGGCCAAGGTGATGCGTGCAGGAAGGGTATCGGGGCGACAGGGCCACAGAATCTATGTGCCTTTTTTGCAATAGGTGCAAATAGTGCATTCAGCGACGCCGCTGCATTTGACCAGGCGGTCAGTCAGTGCGACGGTAATCTGCGGAAGGCTGCAGAGCTCTACTCAGAACGGCAAACAAAAGAAGGACGGGTAGGAAGGAGGCGCTCGAGCCATTTCGTCTATAGTGAGTGGGCTTCTGTCGTGCGCAGGCTCTTCTGGACCTGCTGCTGTTGCCGCCTCCTGGACTGCTGAACGGGTTTATGTATGGTCTTGAGCAGCTGGGCAGGGGCGTGCTATCATCACTGGCCCTGCCCGTCGACCCGCCACTGCAAGTACGGACGCCGTTCATGCTCGAGCAAACGACAGTCGTGAATGCTTCATCCCGCCCGTGTTCCCTGTCTCAGACCCTCCTGTCGCAGACCCTCGTGCCTTTCTCTGAGATTCGGAGACGGAATGCCTTCTGGATTGCCAAACAGCGGCCGAAACAGAAGAAACAGAGGACCGGCCTACTGAGGACGAACGCGTAACGACCTGACAAGGACCATCCGAGATTACTGAGTTCGTGAGGCGACGAGTGCACCTGTTAGTGCAGGCTTTTTGTCGCCATTTGTCGAGGCCCTGTAGTTCTTGCAAGTGCATTGTGACTTGCGATACCTTTTCTGTCGAGCTGGGACATAATATGCATTGGCTCCCTCATCAAAGTAGCGGACTATCATTGGCTTTCGCAGCTCTGATGAACACAAGGATCGCATCATCGCCCTCACAAAGCCACAGGCTCCGTCTAGAAGGAGGGAGGGGTGCATTAGGCCATTTAGTTGTTTTGTAGAATGGTAAATAGGGAGCGGTTTGTGTGTGGAGTGTTCGCCTTTAGGCTTAGACCCGATGTAGTCGATTGTGTGTCAGCCAGAGGCCGTGTGCCATTCATTTCATATGCGGCCATATCGTTTCTGACGGACTAGCGCATCACTCGCCAGTCGATGACGTTCATTTAGCCGTCGCCCCGCCCCCCCGTGTCTCTCTCACTGAGTATGCACACCACACACACAGGGCACTGCAGTGAGCAGACACACACACACACGCACACGCATGGATGAGGTCACCAAAATTCCCTTCGTCTGTCGAGGGCGTCGCTGCGATGCACTCAGTCAGACAGGCCGACACTAATGCGAATCGCTCCCGCACTCACGAGTACCACACCAACTGAGATTATTTCACCTGAGGGGGGCTGGCCGGCAAAACACTGCCGGCCCTGCCTTTCTATCACAATCAACGCACGTACGTCACACACACGTGCGCATCGCTACGATCCCAATCGCCCGGCCGCTCGGTGTCTCACTTGGCCACACACACCAGCAAGAAAAGGAGAGGAGGGAGCCGCACAGTCGGTGTGCTGACAGACTGATGGCCGTTGTGTGTCGTCGACCGGGCTGATGAAGAAAAAAATCAACGAATGCCCAAAGAGATAGAGGCAGACAGTGACCTCCCCTCTTCACCCATTGTGTGTGGTGGGACACGTACTTACATACACAAAGCAAAAAGATAACACTTCTACACACACGCAAGAACAAAGCGCCGAAGCTTACGTGCAGCCCCCTCCCTCCTTCAGGGGAGAGGAAAAAGCAGCCCGAACAGACCAGATGGCCCCCGGACAGTCCATCCATCTATCCATTAATTGAGGAAAACTTGGCGGTGAGTGCGCTTGTGTACAGCAGAAGGCGATGACCGGGCCCACTATGCATCCCATGTCCGTACGTACCTATGCTATTTATCATCGTATGTATGCATCACGAGCTAAAGACTTGCACACATGATTCGGGAAAGGGAAAAGAAAAACAAACCTGACCGAATAGAAGGCCCCGGTCCCTAGTAATACGTACGTTGCTCTGGCTAGCCCATGTCTGCATGCATTGTAGCGGCCGCAAGCAGACTTTAGCTTGGGCTAGCTCATGTGCTGGTCGGTGGGTGAGGTATGTAGGCAGGCCATCCATCCAGATGGGCCGGGCTCTCACCACCAGTTGGTGTCCGGGGGTGGGGGTGGGGGTGCAGGTACCGCCTTGGTGTCGTCCCTCCACTGATCCTCCGACTCCCCGCCGCTCCCGCCACCATTACCGTCACCAACGGAGCCCTCTGCAGTCATGTTCCAGCATGGCAGCACAGCAGAAGGAGAACAAGAGACCGGGGTCGTAAACCCATAGAGCTGTTTGCTGTGCGTGCGTGTCAGCCCCCTGTTGCTTCCTGCGCACTGTACGTACCTGGTTCCTTCTCGCAGATGCCTCTGAATCCCCACTGATTGCATTCGGTGTCCATGAGGACGCCCTTGTCCGGGAGTAGGCCGTGGCTCAGGGGAAGCTTATAGGCGGCGTACTTGGAGCACCGCTGGCCAGGGAAGTAATTGTCTGGGAAAACAGGTTGTCAACCAGCCAGCGAGGGATCGTATGAGCTTATTTCGTGGATGGGTTCTGACCTGGCTGCCGCACCCAGTGGTTGTACCACCAGGTAAGCCCGAAGAGATAGGGCGCCTCGCCACTGCCGTCGGCAAACTCCCATGAGTCCAGCTTTCGGCTATCATTGCCAGGATTTGTGAAGTTCTCATTGCCGCAGTCAAGATCGGGACAGCCCTCTACGCGGTCCTGCCAAAAGAACACCAATCAGCAATGGGGGGGCCCCATGCCGTGCACACCCATACACAAACAGACAGAAAGGGATCGGTGACTGGATGACGAATGGATATATGGCTGGCTGGCTGGCTGTGGGAGGTGTGACATGTCAGGCTGAGGGTCGCACGGACGTACCGGTTTCATCCGGACGCCGACGCAGAAGACTTGGTCGGACGGGTCGTGGCGGGGATCTTCCTCCTCGTATGAAGGGATGTTGAGCACCAGTCGCTGGTACACCGCCAGATCCGCCTACATCCACCAGCCGCATCACAGCACATCACAGCACAATACAAGACAACAAGACACCACAGGCAACACATCAGTGGCCGACCCCACCAACCACCCCAGCCGGCCCTTGCCCCTTTCCTCTCCTTCCTTGACTCACTCACGTGGCCTCGTTTGGGCATTGCGAGGTCTCCCCCGTGTGCCTGGCACTCCCGGCGATGCTCCTCCCAGGTGATCTTATCGAGGTTGACGCGGTAGCACTTGCCGCCCAGGGCAGTCCACTCGGCCTCACACCCTGCCGTGCCATCCTTCTCCACCGCCATGGGATCCATCCACCACATGCCCAGTCGCCGCCCCGGGACGGTCACATTGGCAGACGTGAGGCCGGGGGAGGGGGCGAGCTCAGCCTCACGTCTCACACGCCGGAGGGCAGTTGACGACACGGCACCTGCACGTGAGACGCACACAGGGACGCACACAAAACAACGCTGGATGACGGTGTCTCAGCGACGTGAGCGTCTTTCAGCGGCGCGCGGCGTGCCAGGTGTTGACGACTTACTTTCGGCGTGTCCCTGGGAGGCGAGGAGCACAAGGGTGAGGAGGAGGCTACCCCACGCGGAACGAAACACACAGACGGCCATCATCTACTCTACACGACGCACGAAGGACGCGAAAAAGGGCGATTCTGGAGCGCCTGTTGGTACAACGTAGCAACGGCGGTTGGTCAAACGGCTCGTCGAATTTACCACCATGTACGAAGGGTAGTTTTCCACGAGAGTCGTGTGGGTGACGATGGCCTGCGGGAGAGTCAATGGACTGATCCCTGCGCTGGTGGGCGTGCTCCTCATATGCTGGATGCCGCTACTTGCCCAAGGTAGGCACACGGACATACATGAGACTATCCACGTCATATAGGGCAGACAACAACCAACAGTACAGGCAGGCAGGCAGCCCAGCAGAGCTCGACTCTCATTTGCTCGAGTTGATTCGTCCTTTTATCATCGGCCTGCCTCATGCTGATGTGTCTGCGATGTTTGTGGGTGGATGAAATCAGGGCCGCCGGCGGCACCCGCCCCTGCGCCTCCGCCACCACACTGGGCACCCCCACCACCACTACCAGAACAAGCACCAGCACCAGCACCTGCCCCTCCTGGACATCAAGCAGCACCCGCGGTTCCCCCTCGTGGTGGGAGTGGCGAGTGCGGGGGGGGCGGATGGATTTTCGCCAGCGGGCGTTGTTATCTACGTGTCTTTCGCCTCATGGACTGGTACTCGGCCAGGAACCACTGTGAATCCATGGGAGCACACCTCGCAATGCCACGGAACCAGGTAAGCAACGCACAGAGCCACCGACGGACGGCAAATGCTCTGATGGCTGAGGGAATTACGAATCATCCGTGTGTTGCCTGCTTGTTTGAACGTGTGCAGGCTGAAATGGCGACTCTGAAGGCTTTGGTGTTGGAAGCCAGTATGAAGGCGACCATATCACAGCACACGCAGTGGTTCATCGGCGTCGAAATGAAGCCCGTAAGCAGGGGAACGACACATGCGTATCCATGGCCTGTTAGTGTAACCCTCCCTCTCTCCTGTTTTGCTGCGCCTGTGGATACGTACGTATGTGTGTGTGTGTGTATGTGCGTATGTGTAGGGGTTTGTTCCCGGACGGGACAGCACAAACCCCGCCGCGTGGCAGTTTATCGACGGCACAGACGCGCCATTCTACTTTGGAGGGACCTTTTGGTACAGCCAATGGGTAAGTGAGTGATTATTGCAGTGGTTGATCGAAGAGCGACTCAAAGCTTGTTGTGTGCTGCTTCCTTCCTTCCTTCCTTCCTTCCTTCCTGTAGGTGGTTCAGCCTGACAATTGGGACAACGAGAATCAGCGGTGTGCATATTACATAGCGGTGGCGCACCCGCCCCGCTTCGCCCTGCCCTCTGAGAACGGCGTGTGGGGCGACGAGCCCTGTTCGGCGGCAGACAACCCCGCCCGGATCTTCCGGTCCATCTGCGAGAAGGAGCCTGTCGGGCGGTCGCTCAAGCGGTGGAGATATGGAGGGCCTGAAGCGGCTGCTGGGACGTCCACCTAAGGGACGGATGTCGACTCTTTTTGCTGCATCCATAGACACACAGACACACAGACAGGTCAATCTATCCATTCACTCCATGCATAGCTGGCCGGTTGGCTGGCGAGTGTGGTGATGAGTTCTGCGCACTTGTTGCCGCCGCCCATGCAATTCACACAACGTCAGCTCGACAATCAGAGTCAGAGGCAGGCGAAAACGGGCGGTGCCGAGAGGAATGCTCTCGGGGACGAGCTTGTCTTACCGACCCACTCCTCACTTTCTGGTATACTGGTACGTGTGGAGGTCACTGACTGATCTTCTCTTACTCTCCGAATGACGAAATCAGTGAGGGGCTGAGTGAGGCACCGAGGGGCCGAGGGGCTTCCTTGAATGTATGTGTGTGTGTGTGTGTGTGCTTGGTTGTTCTTACTATCGTTTTGTTCCTTGCTGTTGGTGTGTGCGTCGGCATACATGTACTTTTGAATGCGTGTGTGTAGAAGTGTTATCTTTTTGCTTTATGATGTAACTACGTGTCCCACCACACACAATGGGTGAATAGGGGGGAGGTCACTGTCTGCCTCTATCTCTTTGGGCATTCACTGATTTTTTTCTTCATCAGCCCGGTCGACGACACACAACGGCCATCAGTGTGTGAGCACACTGACTGTGCGGCTGCGTCCTCTCCTTTTCTTGCTGGTGTGTGTGGCCAAGTGAGACACCGAGCGGCCGGGCGATTGGGATCGTAGCGATGCGCACGTGTGTGTGTGACGTACGTGCGTTGATTGTGATAGAAAGGCAGGGCCGGCAGTGTTTTGCCGGCCAGCCCCCCTCAGGTGAAATGATCTCAGTTGGTGTGGTACTCGCGAGTGCGGGAGCGATTCGCATTAGTGTCGGTCTGTCTGACTGAGTGCATCGCAGCGACGCCCTCGACAGACGAAGGGAATTTTGGTGACCTCAGCATTCGTGTGGTGTGTGCGTGTGTGTGTGTGTCTGCTCACTGCAGTGCCCTGCGTGTGTGGTGTGCAGACTCAGTGAGAGAGACACGGGGGGCGGGGCGACCGCCGTGGGCTAAACGAACGTCATCGACTGGCGAGCGATGCGCTAGTCCGTCAGAAAGGAAAGATATGGCCCCATATGAAATGAATGTCACACGGCCTCTGGCTGGCACACAATCGACTACATCGGGTCTAAGCATAAAGGCGAACACTCCACACACAAAGCGCTCCCTATCTACTTCTACTGAAGACACCTAAATGGTCTATACTCGAGACAACTCAATGGCTTATTGCCTCTCACTTTCCCCTCTATGGAGCCTGCGGCTCTGTGAGGGCGACAGACATGCGATCCTTGTGTTTGAAGATCGATGGGCGCGGCTTTGCCTCGTCTTCTGCCCTGGGGCCGCCGAACAGCGACGAGGCCGCACGAACACGGCTGGCCGTCGTTACCACGGACGCTCGCTGCTGCTCTTCCTCTCCTTGGAACACTGAGGGGCGGGCGCTGTCATCGAGGGGCACGTGCTGCACCTGGGGCGCAGCGATGGGGCAGAACAGCGAGAATCGCGACTTGCGGGGCTGGGCGGAGGCTCCTGTTGGTCCTCTTGCGGTGCGAAGAGGGAGCGGAGCGTCGCTGGACGGCCTCCTGTTGCAGGATGGACCTCCGCTGGTCGGGGGGGTGGAAGACTGACAGCTTTGGGCCCTCTTTGAGGAACACCGACACAATCCGGCTCACACGTGGCGTCTGCCGGGGCTTCCCGGGCTTCTCCTCCTCTTCTTTGACGTCCGGGGCCGTCATGGCCGTGTCGCGCCTGTGTGGGCAGACACACACACATCCATTCAGGAGTTTTCTGTGTGTGTATGCGGCGGCGTGGGGCGGGCGGGTAGACAGGCCTCTCGCTCACCGTTCGAAGACTATCATGTCTTGCTCGACATCATCGGCCGTCCTGTGCCGCAGGGCCGAGAAATCATACAGACGAGGCACCGCAGACAGCAGCCCATCAAACACACCAGACGCTGACACACACATGAACACACAGACGCACAGGTAGGTAGGTGCGCAACTTAGAGGAGGTGGATGCAACCTATACGTACCGAGGGCGCTTCGCAGGATGATGAAGAGCGTGATGACCTGTACTGCGGGCCAAACGATCATGTATAGCGCCAGATAAAGCACACTTCCCAGGAACCACTGCCTAATTTCATCGATCGAAGGAGCCGACACTATCGTGAAGCTCATGACAATGCCCACGCAGACGATGATGCGCACACACGCGAACAGCCGCCTACACACACACACACATACATGGACACATACGCACAGAATCGAAACACCAGGGACAGAGAGAGACACACGTGTGTGTGCCTGCTCACCCGATTAGTTCGACGAATCGCCATGACGTGACTGTCGAGTCCTTTTCCGCCTCTGTCATTGGCGCGCGGCGCCACCGCTGCAAAGCTACCACGTCCGAACCAGGCTGACACACATTCAAATGGTGTGCTGTCGGTCGGTCGGTCTCTTGGGTGGATACCTTGGCAGAATACTCCTTGTATTCCGGATAGCCTGCCGGGGTGGGCACCTGCACAAGCCGCCCATTGCCGCAGCGATCGCGATCGATTTGTGGGCATGAAAGCAACGACTTACCCTTTTTCTGAAGACGTGTATAAGTGCGAATCGGACGGGGAGTGCGATCACGATTGAGGCGATCCAGATCAGCAGCCCAATAACGGTGAACCTGAAGGGGTCCTCGTCGATGTTGAAGTAGAAGATACGGCCAGACGACGCCTACACACACCTCTCACGTGCTCTTTTGTGTGTGGCTGGGTTGAGGCATTGCTTACATCTTCTGCGAGCAGAAAGAATATGGAGGCGATTGCGAGGATGCTGAAGAGGTAAGAGAAGGCGGTGAGACTCTTCTGCATTGCAGAGAGCTCCGACGAGGGACACAGCATCTGGCCGACACAGGGAGACACCGTTGCAGCACCAAAATGAAGCACGTACTACCTTTGCGATGGGCGATTCTCTGCGGATTAGGGAAGTGAAGAGCCGCCACATAGACCACTCGACAAAGATGATCCGCTCGAGTTGTTTCTGGATGAGGGCCTCGTCCTGCTGGTCGGTGCTGATCATGACGCTCGCCCGGGGGATGGCCTTGACATCGGTGGGCAGAGGAAGGACCGCTACGCTTTTCTTGCTCTTGGCGGCGCCAGGCTGGGCTTGTGCGGCCAGAGACGCCTTGCGATCCTCCACAAACGATTGTATCATCTCGGGCACCTGATTGATCACACAGGTACAATCACGAAGCACACCAAGGCAATGGTCTGGATCCATCTACCGGTCCTGGTATGGCTACGTACGCCACTGTTGCAATGCGCTCACTTGTGGGTCTTCAAATCTGAGCCGGAGGTCTTCAAGCCTGTCGGCGCCTTGGGCGAGTGCCGATCTGCGGACGACTTTGAGAGAGAGCTCATGAGGAGCCCTCTCTGTGACGTCCTCGACCAGTACGCCCGCATCGAGGAGCTCCTCCTCCATCTCTTGCGATACGGTCACCTCCTGCTGCCCGAGGTGACGACGGTCCTTGACATCCAGGACCTTATGCATTCAACACGACACAACACAAGGAGAGACGCACTCAGCTAATGTCCGACACGTGCACTTCTTGACCGGCTTACCATGACAGACATCCGGGGGCGCGAGGGCGCTCGCCTCTCGATGTCCCTCGGCTCGTCGGTCTGCGCCTCCTGGCCCGCACCCTCCTCTCCCTCCTCGTCCGCATTCGATACCGACCGCACCGATATGGGCAAATCACCATCGTGGGCCACCGCCGCGGCCTCAGCGATGTGAATGTCGCTGATGGAAGCCAGCGGGTGCGGCTCGCCCTGCAGAAATGGGGTTGTTGTTCGCGTGAGGACCCAGGGGCGGATGCTGAGATTCTCAGGGCCGACAAACACCCTGCAGGGCAGAAAGAGGACGGTCTTCTCGCCCGACTCGGCACTCACCACGGCCAGACCGCGGTAGGCGCCCCCCCAAACCACTGACACATGCGTATGTGACACAACCACATCGGTATTGCAACGAAACGAGATCGTTGTCATAAAGCTGTCTTCATACCGAGGTTGTTCTCATCAACCTTGCACCATCCGGGCCGCATTTCTCCTACAACCTGTTTGGATTGCTTGTATTCTTGATATCTTTTGCGGCCCAGGAAGAGACGCGCGAGAGCCTGGATGCGCACGATGCCTGTAGGAGGTAAGAAGAGGGAATATATAATATTGCTGTGCGACATGGATGCCCATGGTACATGTATGTACCATGGAATTGCTCTTCGTGCCGCGACTGGGCTACCTGAAGCAAAGCAAACAGAGTGGCATTACACGGCATGACAGCTTGAAGCTCACTGCGTACCCACCTGCCGCAGGGAGGACTTCCACACACCGACAGCCGTCTGCCGCCGGTCGCTGGGGCGGCGCCCTGAGAGAGGTATCTGTATCAAGCAAAAAAGGAAAGTCAGCCGTGTACACCACAGTGTGATGCATCCATCAGTCTGGCCCGGCCTGTCGTTCCACCTGTGCTGCCGGGTCTGTGAGGACGTCAGCGAGGCTGTCGGTGGATATCCGTGGCTGCTGCGTGTATGTGTAGGCCGTGGGCCGACGCGACGCTCGGGCCTCCCTGGCCTCCTTGCCGTGGTAAGGAGACATTGTCATCTTGAAGTCGGCGTACGACTTGCACCACCTGCCGCCGCACACCATACACACTCGTGGGTTGGTTGTGGGCTGAGGTGCATCAAGCCGCCCAGAGTGATACATACTTTCTTTCGAGCTTACGCACCTCCACTCCTGCAGGTGCCTGACGGACAGCCCAAGCCGGTAGCCGAAGAGATTGAGGATGAAGTCGTTCCATCTGGAGGCGAATGTGTGTTCGTCCCGATCCAACTGGTCGATCTTCTTGCTCAGAGTGCTGTCGCGCATCCACACGGCCTTCAACGCTTTGTCGCTCATGTCGTAGTGCCATCAACACACACAAGACATTGGCCGGGCTGTCAGTCAGAGAGACAGTGATGCAGACATACCTGTCGTTCATGTAGGCGATGATGAGAATGAATACCATGATGAGCAGAAGAAGGATTATCAGCCACAGACCTGAACATCAATGCCGTCAAGCTGTCAGTCACCCCCACACACACATACATGGACGTGCGGTACGGCCTCACCAACGTTGGATGCGCCGTACTCATCTGTCTCCAGCAGGTCAATGCGCGGGACGTCCTCGCGTGCGACCGAGAAGTCTAAGGAAGAATCACATGTGCGTATCCGCCGCTGCATGATCTATCCCGATTCTCCATATCCTGCAGACTCACCGGTGAGATGGCTGCACATACAGACGATATGAGACCGATTGGAATGGGTTGCGTTGGCGACACATCCATCGGACGTCCACAGCTCAGCACCCTCATCCCAGTAGAGGCATACGGTTGGGTCGTTCCTCTCCCGGGACTCACCAGGGGCCAGCGGCGCATGGGCCGAGAACTCAAAGGGCTGAGACATGTTGATGAGCTTCAGAGGCGTGGCGTCCTCTCGCCTGCACAGAATTGCACACACAGCATTGTCCAGTCCACCTAATGCGCTTTCACACGGATCGACAGGCAGAAAAGGGGCAGATGGGGGAGACCACTCACAAGATGGAGAAGGCGATAACGGCTTGACTGACGTTTTTCTCAAGTGTGTCTGGTTCGTATCTGTGTGGGTTGGTGGCGAAATGCACGAGGTGTATGCGCAGGATCTGCTCAAGCAGTCCATCAGTCAAGGAAAATGAAAAAAAAGGAAGAAAAGAGAGGGGAATTTTCGCAGTTTGGCTTGGTTCAATCTGCAGAGTAAACTGACCTCGTCATCCGGGATGGTGAGCGCCCCCAGATCAACAGACGGCAGGGACGTCCTGTCGGATGAGTAGCCCTCTGATGACAGGGACTGCACTCGACAGCAACAGACATCGGACAAATTATCCCCTCTCGCCCTATGGTGAGTCGTTCTGTCTTGCCTCCCTACCTTTGCGTCCCTCTTGGCGACTGTGAGGCGTATGTCTGGCGTGGCGACAGTGGTCTCTGCGCCCAGCTGCAGATCGTCGCCCAGCATATTTCCAAGATCAGTCATGGCCGCCCGGACATCATTGATGACGTCCGCCACGGCGTCGACGGTCGTGTTGGCGATCTCCTTCGGCCCACTCAAGAGAGTGTCGTCCATCTGTGCCATGAGGATCGCTGCGCTCCGCAAAAGGTCCTGATGGGCATGCCAGCAAGCACAGGTAGAAAGGTGCGCTTTGCCGTGAGTACATCCCCGCCTACAGTGGCGGCATCGAGGGTCACGCCGCCAATGGTGCTGGAGATCCGGACGGCATTCCTGACGGCTCGTGCTCCCTCGGCTGCCACCTCAATGTCGAGCTCGTTGGCCGTGCTTGCGCCGTCGATAAGGTACAGAGCAGTCGACATCTCCATTTTGACGGCGGCCTCGTCGAGAGTTGTGCTCCAAACATCCACCATCTGCATGAATACATGCGCATCGCACACATTCTCGCTGGTCGCAGCCCACCAGCCCCTGCCCCGTACCATGGAGAAGACTCTGATGAGCTCTTTCCACGTCAGCCTCCTCTCTGTCTCGTCCTCAATGGTTCCCGTGTCCGATGAGAGAATCTGTGCGATTTGTGCGATACCCGCGAGGGTCGCGGCGGGGTCTGACGTCGAGTCAGCGCCCTCCAGGATGCCACGCAGCTCTTCCAGCCGATCTGCACACACAGGTATGCAATGCAGGCCGGCATGAGAAGCTCGCAACTGCAAGCGTCCGCTCACCTACCCAGTTCAAACACTGGCTGCGATACGGTGACAGTCGTGCTCTTCGCGATGGCCTGACCTCCGTACGTGTCCTTGACCCTACGGAACCAAAGACGACACGAGGAAGAAGCAATGCAACTCCCGAAAAAGACGTACAGTCCGTCAGCCAAATCACTCACGTCGCAATGACGACATACGAGCCCTCAGGCAACGTTGTAACGAAGCGGTTCGACCGGGCGAACGGCCTCAGAGTTGCGTTCACAATGTGCAGGTCTTGATGGGTCTTGATGTCGTCAGCAGCCTGCATCGAATAGATATCGGCAGTCTCCTATGACATAAAATCGTCTTCTCTCTCTTTGCCTCCTGCCGCACCTGCGCGTCGACGACGTAGAATGAGTACTGCAGCGGCAGGTCATCGTCCTGCCAGCCACCACTGGTGAGGGTGAATTGATCGAGAAGCGCAGCGCCCTCCGTAGGACTAACATCGACAATGCCACCGAAGGGCGGGCGATTGACTGTCAGCACACCCCCATCGAAGATGAACAGGTCAGCTTCGGCGTCGGTGGAGGTGACGGCAGAGATGGCCCGCTGGTCACTGAGAGGCATGGAGGACACGACAAGGCGGACGACGTACTCACCGCCTGGGGAAAGTGTGTCAGGGAGAATGGTGCCGAGTATCAACTGCATTTGCACGCCTCCAGCTGTCGTGGTAGCCGTCATCGTTGCGTTCAGAGCCGTCGGGTTTGTCATAAGGCTGTCAGCGATGACCCACTTGACCTGATCACCCGCGCCCACATACTCGTCGGCGGCAGGGCAGGCAGTGGTGGGTGCGAGGGAGGCCGAGAGGTCGATGGGCAGCTGAGACGACACCTGGGGCGGCAGCGGTGTGAGGGAGATAGGCGGTGGGGCGCCGCCCTCAGACACCAACATCTTGATGCTCTCACTGGCCGACATGCCCACAGACGTGCTCACGGTGAGGGTGATGACTAAAGTGCCGGTGGCCAGCGTGCGGACCAGCTCGATAGCCGAGAACTGCCCTTGGTTCGCCGCCCATTCGGCGAAGCATGCCCGGCCCTGCCTGTCGCCCTCAACGACACACGACCAGATGTAGGTGAGCTCGTCTGGTGTGGTGCCATAGGACTTGCTCCCATCCAGGACCACTGTGCACCCGACAGAAGCTGCTGCAGGCGCGCTGACTCTCACGACTGGAGGGGATTCCACATTCACGTTGACGTCGAATCTTGTAGATACTCTGAGGGACAACCGCATTGTAAAAATCCGGCGCTTGAATAGCCACCTGATCAGGTGGCTATGGGTCTACCTGGCGTGCGTACCTCTCACTGGGCGTGGATGAGAAGAAGGCATCGGCAGTAAATTGGTAGAAGCCCCCCGGTTCAAGCGAAGACGCAGGCATGGTTATGACTCTGGGGTTGGTGGTGGCGGGAATGGTCACCTGGGGCTGGCTCCGCCACTCGACCATCCTGTCGTCGCCACTTGAATCACAGGGGCCATCTGCCGGCGGTGAGGCGACGGCCACCTCCAGCATCAAAGTGGTCGATGGGTCTATGCTGAGTAGCTGGTCGGTGACGGGGAGAAGTATAGGAACACGCCGGCCAATGAGGACAGTCGTAGATATGGTGCCTGAATGAGGGGGTGCCGAACGAACCGATGCATGCATGGATGCAGACTTTCCCTCTAGATAGACCATTCCTCACCACTTGCACTCTCTCCCATCCAATTCTCGAGTGTGAGTGTGACTCCGAGGTCCACCCGATCCAGTCCGTTGGCTTGAGCAATTTCCCCAATGCGCGCGTGAAGGGTCTCAGCAGGCACCGTGAGGCTGAGCGAAGAGACCGATGAGAGTAAGGATGATAGGGATGTCGTACAGCTCAACGATAGCGGATCCGCACAGCTCCTGCAGGCACCAAACATATCAGCAGGGTCACGAAACGATGAAGCCATCCATACGTACGTACCATCTGACGCTCTTGTAGGCTCGTCCAGCGTGGCCTGTGCTTTCTTCCGCGATTATGTAGAGGGGGACACAGGAGCTAGGCATGAAACACGCCATGGATGGAGCTAGGATGTGTGGTTGTGTGTGGGGGTATGTTTGTGTGTGGACACAGACGAACCATGTGTATGTACCTGACAGTTGTTGGCCCCTACATCAGTATGCACCCTAGAACATGCTGGTGGAAGGAGGTATGGCATACCTTGAGGATGACGGATGGCAGCAAGGGCGCCTTGTCGGCCGACCCTGTGACCCTGATGGAATGTCTTGCAGCAGGGTACGACCAGGCGGGAAGAGCCTTCACTGCGTCTTGCCGCTGAAGGACACCGCCCTGCTCAGAGCCATTCAGTGCATGAAGGCAGCAACACACACGCAAGTGAGCAGTAGCGCAGACAGACAAAGACGCAGCCATTCCCTGTATGTACCTTGACGCTGATCGGATGAAACAGTCTGATGACTGGTCTGGAGCCAAGCTGGATCTCAAACAACCGAGTTGACGCCTAGAAACTATACACATGTGTTCACAGAGATCGGCCTGCCTTTTGAGCCTAACGCATGCAAGGCCTTACGATGTATGTACCATATTGGTTGGTCTCCCAGAAGGGGCAGGGTGTCAGTTGCTAGCACAGCCCTGCAATCTCCCCAGAGCGACCCGGGGACCCGCTGTACTGCAACAGGATGGTCGAACTCGATCCGAATGCCCAGGTAGCCGTCGATGAACTCGGCCTTGGCCTGAGGAACAAACAGGAAGAGAAGAGACACACCAGAGGTCCCACCCACTCATTGTTTCAACCCGCCCCTCACCATAATAGTGCTGCCGAGAGGGAAGCAGAGCTGAGTCTCGCCTGGTCCAAGCTCATTTTGCCGGCAGCCGATGCTGGCTGCAAGAGCCGGGACGATTCGGGACTCAGCAGTGATGGGGGGATGTCACAGCCAGACACGCACTACAGTGCAAAACTCATGATCTATATGACTCCTCACATCGGTCTGCACATGTGTCATTACCCTGACAAGGATGCTCATCGGGGGGCTTTCCGATGCGGAGCAGAAGGTCGTTGTTGAGTCGTTGATTTCGCATGAAATGGAGCACTCTGAGATGACGGGGGGGGCCCTTTTCGACGTCGAACTGGATGTCTGTGACAGGCACTTCCTTGCAGACGAAGCCCTTCTCAAGTTCGCCAACACCGTTGCACCCGTCACCTCCGTCGAGGTTCCCTGCAATCGAAATCACCACCGTGTCCTTGTGGAGTGCCCTGTCTAGCATCAGGACTTTACCATCATCGCATTCTTCACTCGGTGTCTTAATGCCGTCTCCAAGGACGGGGCGGCATGTGCCAAGGTCGGTCACGGGATCCTCTTCACAGTAATAGAACTGGAGGCAGCGGTCGCCGCACATGTCCAGCCGCTTGACAAGGTTAACATAACCGATCGTCATGCCCACACCCGACGGGGATGCCATGTCGTTGACAAAGCACACCTGCAGACGACAAGAATGGTATACGGTGGTAGTCGTTCAATTCAGATGTCCCCTTGGACTCCACGTACTTTGTAGGTTTCGATCTTTTTGAGGGTGCCGCCTCCATAAGGGCAGAAGAGCCAGGACTCTGTCCCTCCATCCCCCTCGGTGTCGGCAACATCGCTTCCCACCCAGTGGACGTTCGACGGCCCGACCAATTCGGTGATGTTGACTGCCGTGGTGTCCACGGCCACACAGTCGCCTTTCGAAGGTAGCTCTGTAATCGCATTGTCGAACGGGTGTGCAGAGTCGCCACACGCCTCGTAAAAGGGGATAAGGAATGTGGACGGATTGGCCAAGGCAGGTCCCAGAACCAAAGGCTGGACAGCGGATTCGAAACTCGAAGAAGAGCAGCCAAGGACGAGACGTGCAATGGACCCACCTCGATATCTATAAGGGCTTCAAATTGAATGCCAAACACTTGTCCGTTTGGAGGTCCTGAATACCACAGTGAGAATCCAGCCAGCTGATGTCATGTGAGTGCATTGGCTTCACCACACCTTCTAACTTCATGCTTCCAACAGTGACGGGAAAGTCACCCGGTTCCACACAACTGCTGCCTTTACCACAGAAACACACATGGTGTTTCTCACTGGGAGGCGCCAGTGTGAATCCCATATCGAAGTCGACGGGCGCGACGTTGGCAGCTGTGTCGGTGCCCTTGACGCCCACCAATGAGGGATTGTGTTCGAATCCGTCGACGAACTTGACACCATCGTCTGAGCATGGCTTGTCCATGACAGCAATGCGGTACTGCTGAGTGGCGTCGTAGTCGATGGAAATGCCGTCATACGTGCAGCTGGACCCGCGGCTGCACCGTTTGTTGTAGTTGCTCACACTTGGGCCTGGAATGCAATATCAGCAGTGCCTCATTTGCTGCCGTCCGTGGCTGACCTGCCCTGATTGGCTCCCTCTCTGTCTGTCTGTCTGTCTGTTGACCTGTAATGTGCAGCGTTCCAATTTGCACGCGGTGGGCTGACGGCGTGTCGCAGGCTCCGGCCGATCCCTTGCCGCACCAGCACACGTGGTAGTGGCCCGCTTCCGAGAGAGTGAGGCCGAATGTGAAGCTTTGCGATGTGCTGCTGGATGGGCTGGGCGAGGGATTGGCGTCGATGTCTTCCAGCAGACCGCCTGTGCACGGCACACTGCCTTTTGTCAGCAGCAGGCGGTCGTCCACAGTCAGCTGATAGCCGCCAATCGTAAGGGGCGCCGAAGGACAAAACGTCCCAGCCGCACACAGCACATGCTCACAGGACGTCGACACCAACGAATCACAATACGAGGCCGGACCTGCAGGGAATAAAACTCGTGGCAAAGGGACGACGGGGTGCGGACATGGATGCACCCACAAACCAGTGGCTGTCTTACCTGCCACATACAGGTCTCCTACATGCGTCGCGAAGCTGGCCGTACTGGTGCAGTCCGCTTCTTTTGGACACCTGTCAATAGTACCATTAGGAGGTCGCTCTGGTAAGCTGGTGAGCTAATGGACTCACCAACATATTCTGTAAATTCCACCGGGAAGCTTCGTGTTCATGTCGTATGTGGTTCCGTTAGCCTGTGCTGTTGTTTCGGTCCCGCCCACAGCTTCGAGCTGGCTGCCACAGACGTTGGGTAATTTGATTAAATGGATCTTGTCGCCCTGTTCAAGCTCCACACCCACAAGCTCGATTGGGCAAGGGGAGCCCGACGTGCAGGTGTAGACGTCAGCTGCCAGACGCGGACCCTTCACAGTCACAGTCCCGGAATGGACGGGGAAGTTTTCATTGTTCTTGGTGGACGTGCCGATTTGGTGACACGACCCCCATGACCCTTTGCACCTGCACAAAAAGGTTACGAATGCGCTAATGAAAAGCAGCAGTCTGTCATAGCTCACCAGCAGAGAACCAGATTCTGGGCTCCATAAACAGCTCGACCTGGAAATGTTGGAGATGAAGTGAGAAGGGGCTGACACCTTTTCGTCCTCAAATCTGACCTAACGAGAAAACTTCTCCGTTGGATCCAGCATCGGCCTTTGCGTTGTCAATGCGAGGATCTTCGTCATCAAAAATTCTACAGACACGAGAGTCTAGTGACTGGCAATGTCCCCGTCCGTCCGTTGTCTGCTGCCCCTCAGGTCCTCACTGACCTAGGGTACAAAGGCACCACGTCAACGCCACATCTTTTTCCCTCAGGTGCCACCAAAATCGTATCACGATCCTCAAGCCCTGGAGGCACGAAAAATATTCGCAACACAGAATTATATGAACGAGAACAAGTTGAAGGAGAGGTTAGTCGTCCATCATACCTGCCCCGCTAATGTCTATTTGGCATGAGAGACTAACCACACATCGTGGATGCGCCTTGGTACTGGAACTGCGATCTGGAGCTGAGATAAAGCGTTGGCAAGGGAGTCGATGGCATGATGTGTCGAGTGCGACACAACTCACATACCATTGATCTGGAGTAATCCTGCATTGACATTGAAACCGGTCAAGTTGGTTTCTGGATTGCAAGCCTCGATATCCTGAGGATCCGTACACCTTCAACCGCAAAATCATGCACAGCAAGCAACATGCCACGCTTTTGTGTCTGTTCTTTAATTGTCGCTCACCAACAAAGCGAAAAAACGCCTCCATACCGGACGGATGCAAAAGTGAAAGTCCCTCCCGCTTGTGATGCAAAGTCAACGTCGCCATCGTCATCAACTAAATCGGTGACAGTGTGATTCGAAGTCGCGGGGCTATCAGGGCTACACTCGGCTGTAGAGATGAGCAGGGTATCAACACCATCGGCAAGCTCTGAAAACGTCCATGCAGATGACAGCACAGCGGCAGTATGTAGCAATCCAAAAGGGCGCCTAGAGACACAACTAGGCAAGCCTGTCGTAAGGGCGCCTGTGCCATTCAGTACAATGGTACAATCTCTTCCAGCATCGCATGAAGCGTCGTCGAACAGACCATCCGGCCCTGTCAAACGGAGGATGAAGGGAGAGATACAAGCGAATCTTGATGCTACCTTTGACAGCCAGATTCCCAACGTATATGGTATAGTTGCTTGTCGTCGCATTGGAGGCATCGCATGCCAAGCCACTGTAGGCTCCGCACCTGCACAATCAACCGAGCACCCCCCTGCGACTGAACTCTGACATGTCTTTCTGGTCGCTGCCAAGGCGCGTACCAGCAGAGCAGAACGTCCATTCCCCGATAGGCTTTGGTCAAACTGAATACTTCGCCGTCCGAGTTGGCATCAGCCTGGGCGTAATCACCACCATTGAACAGTGCAGGGCTGACCGGTACCGGTGCCTCGCATGCCGTCGCCGAGATGATGATTCGATCCGAATCGTCCAGACCTGGGCGCCAACAAAATGAGCAGAGAAAAGCGTTGTACAAGCCAAGGCATGTCCAATTGAAGCTCTCGAGTTTTTGATAGAATACCAATTCCTTGCACAGAATTTACAGAACAGTCTCGGCCGGCTGTACAACGCGCGTCCACTAGTCTCGTGTCAGGGCCTTCAAGCCAGAACAACACAAAATGTTTCCCAACTGCAATGTCAATAGTTCTGCCGTGTTGCATACCTCTTAGCATAAATTGCCATACTTGGACAGCAAAGTGCTCTGCATTCGTACAGGCGAGAACCGCCTCATCGCAGAAACAGATGTGGTGCTCTCCGGGTGTCCTTGCTCTCGGATTCACTTGCAGGCCGAGTTGGAAGTCATACTGTCCTGATGATGCACCGTGCCCTTCGGCTGGATTCGTCATAAAGGTGGTGTTGGCACCGACGAATGTAGCCTTGGGGTCGGAGCAGTCTTGATCCAGAATAGCAACATGGAAGTCTGATGGGCGTTGACCATGGATGTCCACGCTAGATACAACACAGTCGTCAGCTCCCAGCGTGCACGTAAAGTCCTGGAAATTGCTTGTAGGGCCTGTAAGGGACTAGGCATTGCAAGCGTGGCAAAAATTTGCGTTCTTGCGCACCATCGATCGCCAGTTGGCCCACACGTGTGTTGAAGTTGCTCAAGGCAGTGTCGGGATCACAGCGAGAAGCCCCCGTACACCTGCAAACACATCCATTGATACATGCAAATGTAGAGATGTGGCCAAACGCATGTACACTTAGACACCAGATGTGTGCACACATGTGTTCATGTATGTGTGTGCCTCTGTGACGGATGCACGTCGTATGGCCCATCTGTGTATCTATCTATAGATCTATCTATCTGCCCAGCCGACAGTGAGTGTGTCACTGGGTGTGAGTGAAGACGGCGTACAAGAGACATGATGTCTTACCAGCACAGGTGATAGGTTCCCCCCCGAAAGGCCGTGCCGAAGTCATAGTCGGATTGTGTCCCTCCCCCTGCCGCCGTGGCCAGATCGGCCTTCGTACCATCACCATCTTCGGCGAACAAGTCCTTGATGACTGTGCCAGCGACCGGTGGACATCGCCGTGACCTTGAAAGCACCAGTGTGTCCCAGACGCCGGCAAGGCCTGCGCCGGCAACACCACCAGTGAATCCGGCCCCCTCCCACCCTGCAGCGCTATACGTCCCAACCTGTGCCATTGATGGTGATTGTGCAATTGGGCATCCCTGCATGACACGGACTGTCCGCGTTGTCGAAGGTTCCGTCCGGGCCGATGATGGTCAGATTGCCCGCGTCGGTGCTGAACATGCTCAGGTCACCGTCCGGATCACACGAGCTTCCTTGGCACCTGCCCTCGGCCCAGACGAGTGAATGAATACGTCCCCCAGACAAAGCTGCCTGCCTGCCTGCCTGCCTGACTGACCGCCTGTCTCGTGGCCTGCTCGCTTTTGGGTTGCTCACCAGCACAGCAGATAAACTCCCCCACGGAGAGGAGGTGTGGAGTTGAAGTTGTACGTCTGTTGGTCGTCCGAGGACACCGAAGGCGTGTCTGCATAGTCGACAGCAGAAGTGTTGTCGAAGACTGTCGTCGCGGCCGTCCCGGAAGAGCAGTCGTCGCCCGTCGCCAATATTATGACGTCGTCGGTTCCAAAACCTGAGTGAACAAGTGAGGCAGTCAGTGAGTGGATGAGTGCATGCCGCATCGATCGATCGATCGCATTGTGTGCACCATACGCAGCGATCGCTCGCCTGTCTGCCTGCCTGCCAGCATTAGTGGGCTCTCTATCGACCTTCCTACCTACCCACGCCCCTCCAATCAATCTATCTCCCTTTCTTGATTCCCCTACCTGTGCCGTTCGTCAGTGTGACCGAGCACAGCTGGCCGGCAACACACGGGGATTCGGGGGGACGATCAGGGGATTCAGGAGGCCCATTGATAGTCAGTAGGCCCGCAGAGGTGTTGAAGTCGGCCAGGGCGCTGTTAGGATCACACACATCCCCCGGTCCCCCTTGGCACCTGCATTCCATCGCATTGCGTCGACCAAGCCAACAACCCAGGCCGACAGACAGACAGACAGACAGAACGAAACGGCATAATTGCCGATGACCATGCAAGCGAACAAACAGACAGATTGGCTGGCTGGCTGGCTGGACTGACCAACAAAGGTGGAAGACGCCACCGTGCGACGCAGGGGCTGCAAAGGTATATTCCTGGTAGGTCCCAGAAGAATCCGAGGCCACTTGGTGATCGACCGCCGAAGAGTCGTTGAAGACTGTCGTCGTCACAGCCGTCGTGTCGCTGCAGTCGGCCCCTGTGTTCAACACGATGCTGTTGTGGTCTTGGAGACCTGAGCAATGAGGGAATCAATCAGTCAATGGTATGAGCGCGTGGGTGAGTATCGGCTGGTCGGCCGCAAAGAAACAACAGGCATATAGATAGATAGATAGATAGATAGATAGACCGCCGTCCCTGACTACGCGCGCACCCACGCACACACGGACGCAGTGAGTCCATCCCTCCGCCCACCTGTGCCATTGATGGTGATTGTGCAACTGGCATTCCCTGCAACACACGGACTGTCCGCATTGTCGAAGGTTCCGTTCGGGCCGATGATGGTCAGATTGCCCGCGTCGGTGCTGAACATGCTCAGGTCACCGTCCGGATCACACGAGCTTCCTTGGCACCTGCCCTCGGCCCAGACGAGTGAATGGATACGTCCCCCAGACAAAGCTGCCTGCCTGCCTGCCTGACCGACTGACCGCCTGTCTCGTGGCCTGCTCGCTTTTGGGTTGCTCACCAGCACAGCAGATAAACTCCCCCACGGCGAGGAGGTGTGGAGTTGAAGTTGTACGTCTGTTGGTCGTCCGAGGACACCGAAGGCGTGTCTGCATAGTCGACAGCAGAAGTGTTGTCGAAGACTGTCTTCACGGCCGTCCCGGAAGAGCAGTCGTCGCCCGTCGCCAATATTATGACGTCGTCGGTTCCAAAACCTGTGCCATCGATGGTGATTGTGCAATTGGCTATCCCTGCAACACACGGACTGGCCGCGTTGTCGAAGGTTCCGTCCGGGCCGTTGATGGGACTGGCGGTGGTCGAAGTGCTTGAACTGGTTAGACTGACGGGGTCGGTGCTGGACGTTTTCAGGTCACCTTTCGGATCACACGCAGACACCAATCCAGTTGGTTGCTTCACAGTACCACGTGCTCTACCGTTGATAAGATGCGTCAGCAGCGCCGCCAGAAGCGTCCCTTGTATCAAGGTGAAAGAGACCATTGCTGCGATGGCCTACGACGGGCTGAGAGCCCGAGGGATGAGAGCCGTCCTCCACTGCAGCTGGGGGCTCTTGGGGGAACCGCTACAATCCGTAAATTTGGAAGGTGTCTGTGCCTGATATATTCGCACCTGTGCACTATCAGGTGGAGCCACTGGGGACGGGTGGTCACACATTTGAGAGGTTTAGGACGTGCCGACGTCGTTTTACAACTTTGACCTCTGCGTGACAAACGCTGACGTGTCTACAAACGCTGAAGTGTCTTCCTACCGCAACCAATCAACCGCCACCATCCTCAAGAGCAAGGCCAATGCTAAGTGTGCCAGGACAAAAGTCCATCCATTTCACCCCCTTGTGCGTCACGGTGGATGGTGTGTGGGGCAGAGAGGCCAATGGTTTTTTCAGCCGCCTGGTAGAGAAGCTGCGCACCAAGGCTGCGTGGGCAGACAAGTCGTATAGCCAGCTAAGCCAGGTGATGGGGTGGGTTCGTGCTCGTCTGTCTGTTGCGTTGGCGCGTAGTGCGAGTATGTGTGTGCGTGGTGGACGGCGCTACTGGAAGATACCCTGGCGGGCGCTGAGGATGGTGCTGGCATGTTTGTCGCGTGATTGAGGGTTTGTCGATTGACACAGTTCATTTCATGAGAGACCGACGGACCCTGCATCTGCAGTTGCGCTATGAGTCGATGTATTTCCACACAGGATCATGGCACAGAAGACCTACGAGCAGCCATCCCTGCGTAGAGACGTGCCAAAAGAGAGTCAACTTGCATTGACCGAACACTCATCTGTGTGTCCGTGTCACTCATATAAATACAGTCCCATGAGCACGCAGAGTCAAACAGGCTCAAGGGGAGGAGGGATCGATCCCCGCCCCCGGCACATCCCAGCCCCGCGAGCCCCTCCTTTGCTTCCCCACGGAGAGAGTAGCCACGTGCGTTGTTGTTCCGGCAGTCACATCCTCGGCGCAGACTTCCCTTTCGCATTGCATGCCCGCCGTCGCAGGATGAGGGTCGCTGGACGGGGTTGGGTGAAGTGCGACACACGCTCCCTCATCCGGAAAAGAGGGTGCTTATTTGCCATACGCCTTTGTGCAGCCAGCCACAAATCTGAACTTGAAGATGGAAGTGCAAGAAGATACTTCGAAAAAGAGACATACATACATACATACATGAAAAAAAAGGGACGGAAAAAGAGACCATACGCCCCTATGCAGCCAGCCCTCATTCATTTTGTTTTACTACGCCTTTGTGCAGGGACCCACAAAACCCGAGGAAGGAAGTGCAAGAGCTTAACGAATGATCAAGACCTCAGAACGCAGTAAATGCCTCTGCGCCCATGTTCAGCCTGGCAAAGCCCACAACTCCCATGGTTAGACCATATGCGTCTCTCATTGCGCGCTGCTGAATAGTTAACTCGTGCAGTGACTGAGCCTACACACACAATGAGGGAGATAGCCTCGTCAGTACCGTCTTTTGGGTTACATACCCGGACGAATGTGAAATCGAACCAGCCTACACACACAATGACGGAGATAGCCTCGTCAGTACCGTCCTTTGGGGTACATACCGGGACACACCAGCACCACCCAATCGAATGTATCGACGCGGAGCACCAGCATCAACAGCAGCGACAGCACGATGAAAGACACCTGCAGACAGCACGAAGGTTTCATTTGCCGGACCTCTCCTTCAATGCAAAGTATCCAGCCGGACCAGCGGCTCGAAGACGAACTCCGTCAATGCCTCCACTGGTCAGAAGGAAAATGCATGACATATGCGTTGTGCACACCTGTGTCTCATTTACCCGAGCAGGCCAATACAAAATCTTGATACACCAAGTGTCTGCTACGCCCCTCCGTTCCTTCTGCCAGCCGCTCCGAGAACGCGAATAGCAACAAGAAGCAGCTGCACGCCAGCCAGTATAGAAGCGCGATCACAATGCCGACCCGCTCCTTAACTCGCCATCGCTTCAGAACTGCGATTTTCGCATCGAGCGAGAAGTGGCCTCTGTATGGTGGAGACCATTAGTCATTCCTTCATTACTCATGTCTACGTTGTCGTCCCTTGTGCATGGGGGGACGATGTGTCGGTTTCATCATGTCACTCACCAGAGTGTCTGCCTGCCACGTCGGCTACGCGTTTTAGGGACCTGACAGAGATCTGGGGCGAGAGGAGGTCTGACAAGTGAGGGAGCCAGCCGGCCGACTTCTGGGTTGCGCGGAATGCCGGGTGAGAGCCGACGCCTGCAGTAAGCAGCCGCCAAACAGGCCGAGAAAAAAGAAGTTGCAGATAGATACGTGAGTGTGACCCAGGATGGCTGTGTGTCCACCACTCACGGCTTGCACGAGGGGCGAAGGGGATGTACGGTACAGTCTTCCTGACAACGCATACGGACAGACAGACAGACAGACAGACAGAGGCTGCGCGTGCCGTCTATGTTTGTTTAGCACCGAAACAAAAAGAATAAGGCCACTGGCATCGGCTTCGACAGCACGACACACCACAGGAGCACGGCAAGCTGCCGCATAGTCAACCTCCAGGCGATATTGCCCGAATCAAAAGTCATGAGCACAACCTCGGTGTCCCGCTGGGTCTGGGTCGTCTGATCGAAAAACATTGCGGTCACCATCAGTATACCTGCGTCAAACAAACACATCAACAGTCGAGGTTAGCGAATATTCACGCCGGACAAAAACTGCTGCCGGGCAGTGTATGTGCATCAACTCATTCGTCATACCTAGCGTCACACTGCCGAAGAAGAATGTCCGCTGGACGGCGGTATACCTGCATAGAGCCAGAGAGTACATATCGACTGTCATGTCCATGATGCCTTCTCAGCCCGTACCTTGGATTCAAGATAAAGAGCCGGCTGCATTTTCATAAAGACACGTGATCAGCCACCCACCGAGTGTGTACGCACTGCCTTCCATCTGCCATTTGTCTGTGTGTTGTGCATCTTTGAACGTACAGGAGGGGATGGTCGCGTCGACAGACCTCTTTGAACATTTTAGGGGCACTCCACTCCACATACTCTATTCTCCGCAGCGAACGCGTTACTAGTAGGTCGACCTGCCCAGCACACATTCATAATTCAGCGTGCAATTCATCCCCGATTCCAAGTGCTGCTTACTTCAGCGTTGAGATCGCCCCACAGCTCGGTGACACTCTTTCGACGAGCAGGCTCGGTAGGGGAGGGCTCGGCTATAGTGACCTGCCTCTTGATAGATGGCCTCTTGATGCTCTCCCCGATGTCAAGAGGCACGCCATCGTCCTCGCCCTCGTCGGGTAGCCCGCTGGGCTGGGGTTGGGGCCCGCTGGTGCGGCCCTTTCTGCCCCGGGACCCCTGCCACGTAGGTAAAGGGGTCTCATGCGGCTCACTCAGCGGCCAAGCCGTCTCCTCCGTCGGCACATCCATCGACGAGGATTGAGAGAAGTCAGTCGAGTAACAGTGGAACGACACGGGCGATAGCAGATCGGTGTATGATGGCCCAGCTTGTTCCACTCCCGGGTGATGCGAGGGCTCCGAAGGTGGCAATGGCAGCGGGCCTTCTTCTGTCGTCGAAGTGGCTTGCCCCTCGTAGCCGCTGTAAGTGAGCGCTTCCTGCGTCCTCTGGCCAGACATTCCTGCCGAGGAGATGAAGCTCAGGCCCCGGCTTGTACAGAAGCTGCCTTGTGGAGCCTGCCTCGTCCAATTGGCCTTCCCGATCATCATGGCCCTTATGGGGTGTCTGGTGGTCTCTATCTTCGGCTTCCACTTGCGTCTATAAGTCCTTTGGATGAGCACAGCAGCCGCCATTTGCCGCTGCAGCTCGCGCTGCAACCGTTTGCGCAAAGCTTCCCTTAGTACTCCACTCCTATGTGTGTGTAAAGAAGCAGCAGACAGATGGTCAAAGGGACAATGCGTGAGTACCCCCATACACACCTACTTGATCAGAGTGATGGGTTCCTTTTGTGGAGTGCTGGGACGCCTGGAGGATGCGAAACTCAGGATGCTGGTCCATCTGCCCTTGGGGAATCCCTTGTCAGCCTTAGGGTGGTCTTGCGCCGCCGCCGTGGCCGACAGGTTGTGTGGTGGCCACACAGCGGCTGGAGTAGCCGAGACGAGGGGCGAGCGATCGTCCTCAGGCTGATCCTCCTCCTCTGATCCACCGCTGAGCGCAAGTGACACGCTCTTCTTGATGCGCTTGCGGGCTGCGCTGGGGTCAGCATCCGGCATCGGCACCTGCTGCTGCTGTTGCTCTTGTTCCGCCTCTTGCTTGTCATGGTTGGCGGGCTGTCCCGTCTCCTCCAGCTGTGCGGGACCCGCGATAGTGCCGTCGATAGCGGCCGGTGCGGGTGTTGCCTCCTTCTCCAACGTCAGGAAGTGCAAGTGCACATTGGATTTCGTCCGTGAGTATTTCAGCGGGAGGAAAGATTTGGCCGGTGTTGCGTCTGCGTCAGTCACTGCGGCCTCGCTGGTCACGCTAGCCCGATGTCTGCGGTAGCTCGACTTGATGAAGTCGTGCAGCGGCAATATCCTGCGGGACAAGCGGCGTCGATACTCATCTGTGGGGGTTCTTTCAGGGGCTCGGGGTGTATGGGATCCGAAGAGCACCTTTGAACACAGATCAATGCATCCGAATAAAAAAAGGGAGGTAAGTCAGGATGCCCTATGAACGTGACCCCCTTTCCCCTGGTGATAACTGTTCGGATACCGACAACTGGCGTGATAGCTGGCGGGAAAGCCTGTGCACATGCACAATAAGAGATTGGGACAGCCGGCAGTCAGAATGAGAGCTGCCTAGCTAGTGCGTCACCTTGACATCGAGCGCATCAGTCGTGGCCTGAACGCCGATCGTCCGGTGCTCGCGCTCATGTCGCTGTGGAGGCGTGACCGAGATCCTGGCTCGAGAACACTCGATAAAGATGGAGTGTCTTTCTCCGCATTCAGGTCAGAGCGGACAGCCCTGACAGATGTGTGTATGAGTCAAGATAAGTGTATCTGTCATACTTGGCTTGTCTGCAACTATCGACCTGATCGTGCGTAGCTCTTGGAGGTGCAGCGTGGGTTCGCGTCTGCGGCAGTGCATGTAGAGGCCGCCAATGATGCGACAGATGAGGAAGTCGCACAACCAGGGATGATAACAACGCCCGTAACACTGCCGCATGCTCTCGCGCAGCCTCCTGCGACCTCGATGCCTCAAATCAAGCAAAACGTCTGTCATCCTGAATGGATTAATGGACAGACAGACAGACAGGATGGATGCATTGCAATGCAAATGGCAGACCAAAGGTCGATTAGGATTTGATCCGTCACCCTGAACATACGACCAACACACATAAGACAGAGTGACCGCATTCACACAACCATGCGTGCGTGCTATTTGGTTTTCGGTCGCTCAACGGGTTCCTGCAGTCGACTAACAGGGAGACTGCTAAACACACCACGTGTATGCCTGCATACAGATTGAGGGATGTCTGTAAGGAAGGATGACAAGAGGCATTGCTGGTGATATATGTCCATACCTATCATAACCACCACGAACGCCCCCGCGACATTCTTCACCCACGCGTTTGGGTCAGCCATGCTCTTGATAGACGTCTCGGTCAGTGCACTGTCGACGTTGCTCTCTCGGATCACGCTCTTGAAGAGGCTCGCGAACTGTGTGAGGTGGGTGCACACGCAGCAGAGGGTCGTCTCATTCGACACAGCCACATTCACATCACAACCTACACAAAACACACCCATTTCTTCATTGGTCGACCGATTGATCCGTGCGCCACACGTGGGTAGCTGACCTTGTGTGTCCCACTGGTGCGTCGATGTGTTCCAGAAGCCACACACCACGTCCACACGATACGCACTCTCCGTCCCATTGATAGAGACATTGCCAGCCGCCGGCACGCTGTCTGCTGAGGGGCGAGGAATGAACAGCCGGAAGGGCTCTTGCTTCACGTCACCCGCCGTCAGCTGCAGGTCGCTGCCGCACTGTCGGGCCGACACAGCCAAAGTGCCCTGCGCTGCGTTCCTCAGAGTGTCGTTAGCGGTCAGGTTGGCCATTGGCACCTCCTCCTGAGCGGCATATGCATATGGGTCGTCGGCCCAGAAGGTCATCTGCACACTCTCGCGCAGCCCGCCGCCATCGGCACACACGGCCGGCGGGATGGATGGCAATGACGGCATGTCCACAGCTACATTGGTGTCCCTGATCGTGAGTGTGGCCCCACTGGCCGTGTCTGTGCGGACAACCTTCAGCCGGGTCTTGGCGCCCGCCACTTCGGCCGTGTCGTTTGAGTGTGCGGCTGCACGTGTGGCGAGGCTGTCGGCGAGCTGGGCCGTGGTCCCGATGACATCGGATGACAACGTGTGATAGCTCTCCTTGGCAGCCGGTGTCAGCCGCCGAAGGTGTCGGTTCGCCTTTGCTGTTTTGTTGAGCTGTCTGAGGAGGCCGGCCGCCCCATCGAGATAGTACTGAAGGCCCTGCACTTCCTTGACGGCATTGGCGAGAGTGTCGTCGGGCTGGGAGATGGTGTCCGCCGAGACGTTCACGAGAGCCTTGAATGTCGCGACTCCAGCCTCGGCCGTGTCCATGTCGTCGTTCTCTGTACACACAAGACAGCGTGTCGTATGATTATGTGTATCAATCTTTGTTCTGCTGAATACCTGTCTCATCGGCCGTCTCGACGGTGGTGACCAGCGTGACGGCGGACAACAGCACTTCAGCCGGGCTGCTCGACACATCACTCAACTTCGTCGACCGATCGACAGCAGCCTGACCAGCCACACACAGGACAGAGAAATTGGGTGCTGTCCACACCCGTGTGTCTCGTCATCTACCTTTTGCAGGTTGCGCATGAGTGCCTTCACGACGGCTTTCCTTCGTGCCTTGGTCTCTTCCTGTGTCGCATTGGGCTTTGCCAGCCCGGCCATGTCGTCTTTGCGGGCCACTTTGGCGACATTAATGGCTTTGAGGAGCCGAGAGCTGAAGTCCTCAGTCGACTCGACGGGCGGTGGTATGGGTGGTTCCTCGCCCTCGCTGCCCAGCAGACCACCGATGGTGTCCTCTGCATCCGACACGTCAACTGCATCGGGGTCCTGCATCAAGTGAAAGAGACGCGCGTGCACATGAGACATACATGGACCGATGCAGCTGTCCCGTGTCTCGGTTAGGGCCAGTCACTTTGAGATGCTCCAAGTCCTTTGTGACATCGTCCACGTCCACCGGCGTGGCGACAACCGGAGGCGCACAAGCTAATACACACATTCTCGCAAGCAATAGCCAGCCGATCGCGGCTCTCGGGGGCTTTTCTCACTCACTTGTGGTCACTGGTGGGACAGAAGGGGCTGAGGTTGTGGGTGGGACACTCGTCGCTACAGGTGCCTCGCCTGCACGTATCAGCAGGCAACACAATCAGAAGGACATAAACACAGGCAGACAAGCCAGGCCAGCCAGCTGACTGACTAACAACAAGTCAAGCGGGCAGACAGCGATGCTGCTGACTTGTGAATATTGCAGCACTAGTCGTCGGCTGATGTGTGGTGGGGGGCGGCGCGGTAGTGGTTGGAGATGGCGCAGCCGAGGTGGCTGGTGGCAGGGGGGCTGTCGTCGGCGGAGACCCTGTTGTCGTAGTCGTCGTAGTCGTAATGAGAACTGAGGCGAGAAGCAGGATGGCAGAGAGTTCACAAGAGAGCCTTGTGCTCACGGCAGGGGGATCCGACGATAGGGCAAGTCCATCCAGGTTCAATCTGACACATGCTGTCGCATCCATCACCTGCATCACCAGCCAGCCAGGAACAACAGCTCGTAACAGGCAGGCCATGTAAGGAAAGCACGTGCCGGACACACACCGCTGTCTGTATCGCCATCGTCACACTGTTCGGAGCCCTTTACTTGGCCATCCCCACAGATGGCTGACAAACATCCACACATCCGAAGTCATACAGTCCGCTGCTGTCTCTGTCATGTCCATGTGCGGCTGGGGATGTTTACGACTACACACGGATCCAGGGCTGGGGCATGTCCACCCGTCTTCTAGCATACAAGCGCTGTTACATCCGTCACCTACAGACAGGAGGCAAGGGTAGGACAGAGACATACATACAGACATACATACTTGCATCCGGGCGCGCATGGCAGGAATGTCTGTCTGTGTATGCTATTATGTACACGTCACATGATGTCTGTCTGTCTGTGATTGCTTGTTACCGCTGTCTGTATTGCCATCGTCACAAGTCTGGTTGCCGGTCAATTGACCGTCACCGCATATCGGTACGCAAGGATCTCCGGGTGTGGGGCACATCCACCCAGGTTCAATCTGGCATGTAGCTGAGCACCCGTCCCCCGCTGCCGTATTGCCATCGTCACAAGCCTCGTTGCGTACGACGAGAGAGTCACCGCAGACCTCGAGATGTACATCTGCGGGCGGGCGAGGCAAAGGGGCGCAATCAGTAACATCGATCCATTGGGGACATGACAGCCACGCACTGCCGATCTGATGTGTATGTTGCCTACCAAAGCAGTCTCCTGTACAAGAGCAGTCGAAGTATGCCGAGTCGTCGTCGGGCTGTGATGCGAGTACCTCCCATCCCTTGGCCCCGAACTCGAGGAGGCTGCCCCACTTGAGGAAGCACTTGTTCTGAACCTTGTCGAATGTGAACCCCTCGCACTCTGCCAGCTCACGACACTCCACCGCGCAAGTCTCAAACGTCATTCCAATGAGCGAGTAGCGAATCAGATCGCCCCCTGCGAGAGCGGTGTCGTTAAGTCTTTTCATCGTGTCACACGCTGTGCAACAGGAGACAGAGAGCGGCCAGCTATCGCTCGACAAGTTTCTACTTGCCGCCACTGTCTGTCTGTGTGTCTGTCTCTTACGTCGACGTCTGATTATGAAGGTGATGGGCTCGGTCGGCAAGCTGATGGGGTTCGACGAGTAGTCGACGATGTCAGAGGATCCCTGTAATGTGATGGTCACGTTGGCCTCGGTGGCCCACGGGGAACTGTCAAATGTGAGCGAAAACTGTCCAGGGCAGTAACGAGAAAATTAGTATGACAGCTGCTGACGGAGCACTGCGTCTCTTGCTTCCAACCTGGAATCTGTATTTCTTGGATGGCATCTCCGCCAGCGCTTGGTCCCAGGGTGCTGGGGATTTCTCCAATATCCTCTCCCAGAGCACATTTCCCAAGGCCACCACTCCATTTGTCGTGGCGTTTTCCCATTTGATCTCGAAATCACTGACGTCTGCGTTCATAACTAGATCGGTAAAGTGGACCTCTGTAAGGAGCTGAAGGGGTTCGTAGTCATAGTTGAAGAATATGGCGCCACCAGACACGATCTCGTCCCCGTCCCCGTCGATTTTTCGCACGAAGTGTATTTCAGGTGGTAGCGTGTCTGAATAAGGAGGGAAGACAATGACAATAAATAAGTCTCGTCTCATAGATGGCCATTGGCCCCTTCCAGCTGCCAATACCCGTGTTAACGGCGCATGATCTGGAGCTGCTAATCATGTTTGCGGCGGGGGTGTCCGCAGGGTCAGTGTCTCCGTAGAGCAGGCAGTCGGTTAGAGATGGATTGTTGTCACCCGCTTTCTGGGCGTCGAAGACATACATCTCGCATAAGTTGTTCTCGCGACAAAGTCGACCGCAATGCCACCACGAATAAGCTGTAGTACTCTCGATCTCAGCAGTAGATTTTGTTCGCCCCAAAACGTGTTACAGCCTGGCAGACACACAACGATGCCCACGCACACGCCACGCATGCTGCTGTGGTGCCCTCCTGTGATGCGTACCCGAGTAGGCGATCAGCGTGTTTGATGTGGTACTTGGCCGCCCGTCGCTGGTGCGGGTGAAGGCATCGCTTGGCACCTGCAGCGTAACCCAGCCCGGCTGAACCGCCCACAACCTTTCCACTATCACGTTGCCGCTCGTTTGGTTTATGCCCTCGATAGCTGCTTTCACCCCGCCAACCGTCTGCCAGCTCGCCAAGTCGGAGAAATTGCTGAATGTGAGATCGGTGATGTCCTCTGAGAAGGTGAGATGACGTCGACGTATTCCTCAGTAGAGTCGGGGAAGCTTGTGGCAGTTGTGATCATCACCGTTGGGTCCTCGGCTGTATAGGGGAGACAGACGTGTTATGAGAACGATTGATCTATTTCCTCTTTTGTTTACTGCAGCTGTTGAGCTTCTTCTCGCAATATAAAAGATAGCACAGCATACTGCGACTCTGCGAGCACGATTGCTGTTGAAGCAACGCTATTTGTTGTTGCATACGATTGCTCGAATGTCATCGTCCCGATGATACTGCGCCGAAAGACACATTTTCCACGGCTCCTCACGGCTCGCATGTCGAAGTTCGATCTGCGCACGGTCTGACATTAAAGCACATGACGCGCACCGTCTTCAGGAGCACCGTAACGTTTGCATCTGCATCCGTGCTAAAACACCGACCGTTTGAATTGCCCCAAGGGTGTTTCGGCCTAAGGGTCGCACACACAGGCATCAGCCACATCCTGTCTCGTATGTCGGTGTCCGAAGTCCGGGGACAGACTATTGATACCTCCACACGATGTCCCACAGATTTTCTGCAGAAGCCGTCCAATTCCAACCTCCAGTCGGATACCAGCCTTGGCGATCTGAGAATTGGGTACAAAGAAATTGGTGCCTGTATCTGTGTGCACCATTGAGTGGGGATTGAGCGACGAGCCCATTAAGAGTGACCTGCTTTGGTTCCTCCTATGTCAGGGAGAATAGCTGGGGCCTCGTTTGGACCCCCATTCTGAAGGCACCAGGGGAAAAGGGAAAGGGGTCACATGTGCTGTCGTGCCTCGTGTGCTTACTCGCTTGAATCCTATCCAGAACTTCTGTCCCTCCTGGCCCTGGCCAGCCAACTCTTCTGCAATCAACTGGGCCTCATGGAAAGAGTCCAAAATCAGCTGCGCGGCATACGTACGCCCATGCATGCAGCACACAAAAGGTGGAATGTGTGTTCACACCCACCAAGTCACCGTGACGGTCCGATGATGGATACGTCGCATCGCAGCTTTCCTCGGCAGTCTCAAATTTCTCTTCCTTGCCCCCAGGAACGATGTAATAGCACGAGCATGAGCGAAGCGGGCAAATCCATTCTTGTGGGAAAGTAGGCTGGCCATAGTTACTGGAGCCCTCACAAGGCCACAACAGGCATAAGCCTAGCGAAAGGGCACAATGACAGGAAAGAGCACAACGAAGGCGTAGCATGATCCACAAATACCGCATGAAGTGTTCATGTTGTTCATGCCCACCTGCTATGAGGCAGGCTATCAAAGAGGCCATGCGGGTCTGTCTACGTGCGGTAGGGGGGGAAGGGATACTCAGTCTGCCCCCCCAGTTGGTTTCCGGCCCCAATGAAGGGGTCGGTTTGGAGAGGATGACGCTCTACCCCAAAACGACGGTCGGCCCACGACTAATACTCTCTGCAGCCCGACAACCTGCTCCTGACTCCTGGCCTGACTCTCTTGCGCCCTCTCTTCTGGCCTGTTCCCGCGTGACGGTCCACCTCCACCTTGAAAATGGCGGGCGGCGGCTTCCAGGCGATTCTCAAGACCACAGGCTTCCTGGCTCTGATATGGATGGGTTCCAAGCTCAGCAAGATGATGGGTGTCAGCACTATCCTTGCAGAAATCGCCGTCGGCATGGTCGCAGGGCCAAGCGTCGCCAATGGGTGGGTCTTACCCAACGAGTACGGCAACTGTGTAGCCCATTACGAGTACTTCTGCACCGAGATTAAAAGCGACTCGGCCATCCTGAAGATCCTAGAGGGGACTGAGGAGGCCACCAAGTACGAGGACCAGTGGATGGCCAAATTCGCTAAGGATCACTGCTCGCTGACGGGCGCGGCAGGTGAAAAGGAGCGAGAGAAATGCTACGACAAGTGCAAGGAGGAGGAGCATCATCACTGCGGTTCGGAGCCGTCCATTTTCGAACTGCTGGGCACAATCGGCGTCTCGCTCGTCATTTTCGAGTCGGGCATGCACTTTGACTTCGAGAGGGTGCGCAAAGTCGGTGTAGGGGCCTTCATCGTGGCCGTCATCGGCACTTGCCTGCCCCTTGCCATGGGCGCCATCTTCGTGGGCTATATCCTGCCGCACAAAGAGTCGGTCAGCATCGAGGAGGATGGCGTGTCGGCTGGCATCGCTCTGGCGCCAACATCGGTGGGCATATCCATCAAGCTGCTCACCGAGACCAAGCAGCTTGGAACTGACTACGGCCAGGCCATCGTCACGGCCGCGTTCGTCGACGACGTCTTCTCGCTCATCGCCTTCATCATTCTGCAACAGCTGGGGCAGGAGGGAGGCAACATCGGCCAGATTGTGGGGCTGACATTCCTCTACGCTGTGCTCATGCTGGTCGGCGGCGCCGCCATCGCCATGTTCGTCTTCCCGCCAGTAATGACGTGGCTGCTGGCCAAGATCCCGATCGACCAGAAGGCCTCGTTCCAGCCACGCGACCAAGTGCAGTTCTTCATCATGTTCGTCACGCTCTGCCTCTACGGCTACTTAGCGGACCTCATTGGAAGTCATCTTCTGGGCTGCTTCGTCGCCGGCATGTCATTCACTATGGTGCCCAGATCCCACACGGTAGGTGAGCTCGGCTCGGCAACGTGGGATGCCAACAGGGGAAGGGCATTCTTGCGCTCCATGATGTCTTTGGTGCATGCAGATATGGAAACGTCAGACGAAGCGCGGCGTGAACTGGCTGCTTCGACTCTTTTTCGCGGCCACGGTGGGGTTTGCCATCCCAGTCGACTCCCTGTTCACTGTAGATGCCTTCTGGAAGGTGAGTGCAGACGTGGCGTATGAACGCACCTATATTGCTCATCTATTCGCTGCTCAACGTGTGTCTGGTATCCATCGATGGCCGGCATATAGGGTCTCGTGATTGGCCTACTGCCCTGCATTGGCGGCAAAATCCTCGCGGGCCTGCACATGGGACAGCCGAGATGGATCATCGGTAGCACAGACAGGAGGGATCGATCTCGGCCTGCCACATGCAGTCTCTCTGCATGTCAACAGGTTGGGCCATGGTGGGACGAGCGGAGTTTGCCTTCCTGGTCGCACAAAGCGCTCATCAGTTGGGGCTCATGAGCAAAGAGGTCTGTCAAGCCGACGAAGAGGAACCTCTCTTGCCGCGATGTTGGTTGCCTATCTTGGTTGCCGCCACACTTTGCAGGTTTTTGCGTATGTGATATGGGGGCTGCTGTGGGCCACCATCATCACCCCATTCGCGTTCAAATACGTCCTCACCCAACAACAGAAGAAGAAAAAGGTGCCCAGATACATCGGAAGGAAACATCGCGCATCGTATTTCGGTTGTCGTCAGATCGACCCCTCGAAGAAGATCGTCGCGCCATCAGGGAAATCGTCCCCGGTCGGTGCTCATAAAGACGCGCACAGCGTGGGCGAACCTCATTCCTCCATTGCCGTCCGTGTTATTCTTTTCTGGCAGAATGTACTGTCAGAGTACTTTGCGACGTGTTTCCGCATCCAGTTCGCCGGACGCCACAAACCGGGAGTGGTCCACGAGATCACGGGCCTGCTGCACGAGGTAGGTGGCTTACAGCTACAGATGGACCAGTCTCAGTGCCGAGACCCCTAAGCACTATCCTTTCTGTGTGGCGTCACGTGCTTGAATAGGTGGGTCTGGACATCGTATCCGTCAAGATGGCCACAGATGGGCGAGTCGACGTCAGGTGCGCTGCTGGCAGAGGGTGTCTGTACGGCATTGATGTACACTTTTTGACTGGATGTTCGTTCAGCACATATGTGGTGCGTCCGCGCGTCAAGGGCCAGATGGTGGACGATGAGAAGCTTGACGAGATCCACCACTCCATCTTGGAGGCCATCGAATCGAGGGACGCACGGGTCAGTCAGCACTGGTGTATACATAGCAGATGCAGCGGACGTTTGAGCTTCAGCGGTTCTAGCCATGAATCATGAGCGTATGTCATGTGTGCGTGTCACGGCAGGTTGTGTTCCACCCGGCTGAGCAGCGTCCATTCATGTTCCCCTTCATCAAGATCAACATCATCTGTGGTCACCACGTCGGTGAGCTCATGCCCTGCAGACCAGACGGCTCATGCCCTGCAGTGCAGCCCCTTTCGTTCAAACATATGTGTTCTCCAGATCTAATAAACCAGTTTGCGCTTGCCCTGATCGAGCAGAACATAGTGGTAGGTTGACCCGGGCACACACGACTGCGCCTGACGAGCGCGAGCGCAGAAATGCATATGCATTCATGTTTCGATCACCTGCGTGTCGTGTGGTTTGTTGCGGGTGTTGTTTGATTGCAGGTCCGTCAGGCCAACATTGAGCAGATTGATAAGACGCTTGTCAGCATTCTCATGGCACAAGTAACCAGCCAGCAGACTCGCGCAGGCGCAGCCTGAGGTGCACATGCACACAATACGCGAGCTGCTGTTGTTGCCACAGGAGTTGGGTGAGAGCAGGGTGGGCGTGTTCCCTCAGCGCATGTCCACCCTCGAGGAAGCAGCCTCTGTATCGCAAATATCCAACGTCAAGATCGGAGAAATCAAGAAAGCGGTGAAACATTACACCAGGGCACACACTGCAGCAGGCATACGTATACAGATAGGGTTGATTCATATGTCTGTCTGTTTGGGATTAGTTGTATAACTGCCTGGGTCACTATGACAAGCATGGCAGCGTCTTCATCGAGGGTTCGAGGACTGCAACACAGCACTCGAGAGATGCGCCCTCGATGGATGGCCGGATTGGTGATCAATGCTGTGTTGTGTAGGTTTGGATCCCGCCCACCTGGGTCCGACGGGTGAGGTGGAGCACGACCCCATGGTGCTCACCGACGTGCCAGCATCGATGGTCAAGGTCAGCATACAACAACAGAAATCATCAGTCAGATCCGTCTGTGCGGCGCGTCCTTCCATCCTCTCCATCCATGTGTTCGGGGCGGGCATACAGGTTTCGGTGAAGCTCAAGACCAACGTTACAAACTCCGCCATCATACCCAGAGTCAGCACGCCAGCCAGCCGCCCTCGCTCTCAACTCGATTGGCATTCCCTGGTGCGTGTCTGTTCACTTGCATGCAGTTGGTCGAATGCGCTAAGACCAAGGGTTACAATCTGCTTGCGGCGCGCATCGACAAGCACATCCTGGTGCTGTATGTGGACAGCCTGTCCAACTATCAGCAGCACAAGGGGCCTTCAAAACGGCGCCGCTTCGCATTCCGCAAGACGGCCGAGATGAAGAAAGACATCGATGAGATCATGGAGACAGAGGAAATGGTCATGGCCGTGCAGTGCGCAGACCCTCACGACGTACCCACGCACTGCAAGACAGGCAGATGTGCGCGTGTGTACCTATGTCTGTCTGGGTGTCTCTGCTTGTGGGCATGTTTGGGGGGTGGGCTGTTGTCGATGAATTGCTCAGTTGAAGCGTGCGATAGACGAGATGCTGCCATCGCTGGACGTGTTGGCGCACGTGAGCGTGACGGGCTGCGCGGAGGAGAAGAAGATCCAGCGATACCTGTCGTTTGATATCACGGCATCCATCGCCGGTTCGAGCGCCAACCTCATCCCCTCTGGCGCCCCCATGCAGCCCGGCACTGCTGCGTCCGCAGAGGCCAACTCGGCATCCACGATCGCTCAGCAGAAACAGGTCGGTCGAGTTCACACAGACAACAAGGACCGTTGGCAGAAGCTTGTGTTTGACTCGTCGCGCATGTCAGGGTGTTGTTGGGCAGCCCAGTGGCGCGGCTCGCGGTCCGATGCAGCTGGGCGGTCAGCGGCCCGCATCGATGGAGCAGGAAGGAGAGGAGCTGATCGATGTGCGGATCGAGGACGTCAAGACGATACACCACCAGCCGGTGGTCACCGCCATGAAGCCAGACAGTAACGGGGCGGCGGGGAGCGTATAGCTAGCCCGGAGGGGGCTCCGGGGCACCCCAATGGGCTGCACAGGTGAGGGAATGACGGCAGGCGGTTACGAAGGGGTAGAGACATGGGCTGAACTACGCTGTGGTTTCTATTGTTTGGACGAGGTGGTTGCTATTGTCTGGATGAGCGGGTGGGTGAATCTGGCAGTCTTTTTTGCTCATTGGTCACGTGTGCAGTGCCTTTTGACCAGCAACTTGCTTACAGTGTGCGTTGCGAGCATTGTCCTTGCTCTCGCGTTCCCCTACCTGTGTCTTATGTGAATTACGGGTGGATGGTACCGGCTGACTCTGTGTTGCTAATGTCATGCGCCTTGAATGGGTGTCTCACTGCAAGCGACCGGAAAGACATTTAGTCTGGCTTACTGAGTTACCGAAAGGAAGAGGAAGGCAATAGGGCCAGTGGGTGCGTTCAGTCGCATGAGTTTTTCATGCGACTGGAAGACATATTATTTTTTGTCTTTCTTTCTCAATCGATGCCGACAGAGCAGCAGGATCTGACAGGAGAGACAGGCACGATGGGCAAAAAGCGTTAGGGACAGGTGTCATCAAATCCAAGATTGAGGTCAGTTCCCTTTTCTCGAAAGTCCGGAATTGCGATATGTGGTTCGGCCAGTGGGTGATAGGTCCGCCCGGGAGCGGCAAGTCCACCTACTGCAACGCCATGCAGCAGATGTGCCGCGCGCTGAGCAGGCCGCATGTTGTGGTCAACCTGGACCCCGCCAATGACGGCGAGTTGCCGTACGACGTCACCATTGACGTCAGGACACTCGTCAGCGCCGAACAAGTCATGCAGGAGCACAAACTCGGACCCAACGGAGGTGAGACGATGGGAGATGAGAACACGGTCAGACACGAGTGTCACTGAGCGTGCAGGTTTGCTCTACTGCATGGAGTACCTGTTGGTCAACTTTGACTGGCTGGAGGCGGAACTGAGGAAGCACCCAGGTTCAGCTGTTGTCGCGACTCACCCTGGTTGAATCAAGTGTGGCGCGTTAACGCACATGCTTCTTTTAGATACCTACGTCCTGTTCGATTGTCCGGGACAGGTCCGTCGAGAAGAGATTGGGCTGCCAGATAATGCGGCGTGTGTGCACGGAGGTCCTGTCCCCGTGTGGATGTGTGTGCAGGTCGAACTGTATACGCACGAAGGCACGATGCGCAACATATTGGAGAAGCTGGGCAAGATTGACTGCAGGGTGGGTGGACAAGGATCTGGTCCATGAACACGGAATCATATCGATTATCCTTTTCATCCGTCGCTTCTTGTCACTGCGTTGATTGCCTTCAGCTGACGGCGGTGCATCTTATCGACAGCATGATGTGCACCGAGGCTCACAAAGTGAGCGAGATGTGGATGGACAGAGGAGAGGATACGATTTTCCAATGTTGCATGGTTCGGTCAGTACATTAGCGGTCTGCTTTTGTGCCTGTCGTCGATGCTCTTGCTGGAGTTACCGCACGTCAATGTGCTCTCCAAAGTCGACCTCTTGCGCATCCACAAGGAACATATGGGTGTGCGAGAGCAACGACAAAGACACCACTCACATTAGGTGGCACTATGTGATCTCCTTTCTTTCTCGTCGATCAGATTTTCCGTTAGACTACTACGCTGAGGCCGATGACTTGAAGCGGCTGCTCTCTGAGGGCATGCCCAAGAGCCACCCATTCAATGTACGTATCTATCTGGGTGTGTAGGCGCCGATCGATCTGTGTATTCTAAAGATGAGTACATGACGGGTGCCTCTGCCGTGAGTGCAGGCTCGGTTCGCCAAGTTCACGGAGATGCTGGGCGAAGTGGTAGAAGACTTCAGGTGAACATGTATGAGTAATGTGGAGAGCGTGCCTGTCCTGTCTGTGTGATCCGTCCATCCATCCATCCATCCCTCAGCATGGTGAGTTTGGTGCCGTTGGACATTCAAGACAAAGACAGCGTCCTTTCGCTCCTGCAGAGAATTGACAAGGGCAATGGGTGAGCGACGGGGGAGAGAGGCACACGCACACAGACAGAGAGAGGACACCTGCGCCTTCTGTATCTGCTCCGTGGATGGGATATGTATGTGTTCACATGTGAATGTCTGCCAGGTATGCCTTTGGCAGCACGCCTGATGTGACTAAACTCTTTTCTGTGGCCTTGAAGAATGATGATGACGGGGCCGAGGACAGGTATGCACAAAAGACGCGCTCCTGGATGCAGAGCGGTCCACATAAGCTGTCACCGCTTTCTGGGGGCTGCATGCAGGTACGGGTCGATTCAGGAAAGGTACATGGGCGATGATGAAGAAGACGACTCTTTACGAGGGGGCAATGACGACAAGAGAGTCGATTCTGGTGACACGATGTAGGGCTCGGTCGCTTTGTAGCTTATTGACACTTTCGTGGTGTTCTGTGAGGCCCGCGTTATCTGACTCGAGGGTCAGGTCGAAGGGATCAGAAGATGAGCCTGACATCGGAGGGTAAGAGGCGGAGGGAATCCGAGACGGAAGCCGAAAGAGATCTGCAATACAAACAGTCAGACACAGAAAATAAATGGAATTCTTCTGCCGGCGGCAGTGTTTTTGTCACGCACAGTATCACTCCCTCACACAGAAGCTTGCGGATTGTGAATACTGACCGTGAAACAGATCATACCGGTGCGGATCTCACTTGTACTATGATTGGTTTGAAAAGAGTGGGGTGGTTTTCTCGGGTTAAAAGATGCGCGATTTCGTGCCATTGCCTGTGCTCTGGCGTCGCAGCCTGGGGCGGCGCGGTTGGCGAGAAAGGACCGCAAATGTGCGTTACAAAAAGCTCGCAGATGGCCAACTCTGAAACCGCTGCTGCCAGCTCAGCAAAGACGGGAGGCCGGCCTCCCGCGCGGCGCGCGGATTCGAATCGCGCAGGCGGTCGATATGCGGGTCAGTAACGGAGAGTGTTACGGTAAGGTCAGGGTAAGGTCATGATTGTCCGTGACGTTCACATGCCCTTCTTCATGAGCGACTCGCGCGAAGCACAAGCGCCGTATTTTTCGATGTCGGAAGGATGTCGATTGAACGAGACAGCAGTAATTGATTAAAAGAGCCTCACATCCGTGTGTATGTCCAGCCGTCGGTCAGTCAGTCTGCCAGCCAACCAGACACACACACACACACACACATCCATGCATTGATCCATCCAGCCATCGGTCAGTCAGTCTCCAGACACACACACTGATAAAAGCGCGACGCAATCGCAAAATTATGGGTTTTTCGGGCCTCTGATAGAACCGCGACGCGCCACTCGCTGGCCGATACAACCGCGACGCGCCAACCTGGCGCCGAAAAAAATGTTACGTGACCTACGTCGTGCCTTCAGGGGGGTCGTGCCATGCCTACTGACCGAAGCCACGGGTCAGCAGCGGGGGGGTCGCGGGGTTTGGAGAAAGCGCCTTGTGCAATGGTTTGTTTGAGTGCATGCTGCTTGTGTCCTGATGTGACAGTGAGCGTCGGGCTTAGGGACAGGTGTTTCGTTAAACCACTTAAGCAAGCGGGTCTCCTAGAAGCCCGCGCAACGCGCGGGCGAACGCTAGTCTCCGAAATGTCGGATCCAGAGTGGTATGAGGAGTTCGTCGCTCAGTATGCGAAGGAAGTCGCAACTCCCCCTCCCTCCCCCGGCCCTGACCCACCTGACAATCAGCCACCACAGAATGGACAGCGGAAAGGCGGAGGGGGTCGGCTTCCTGAGATTCTTCTGACGACACCCATTTGCGTGTAGGCAGAGTGGGTCACAGATGCGATTCACCCTCCCGAGAGAGTCGAGCAGATAGCGAGGGGCATCATCAGGCGGTTGGTGGAGGTCGGAGGAAGCAAAAAGCTTGGCCTGTCGGTAATGCACAGGAGTGGAGCGGCCCCGGCGTTTCGTGTGGCCGCATCGGTGAAGAAACAAGGGACGAGGGAAAGGACCAAACCCGCCACGGTGAGACACGGACAGGAGAAAAGGGTGACTGACTGGACGCAGAACACTGTGGTTGGGTTGCCTGTGTTGAGTGTAGCTGTTTCCCATCGGGACAAAAGGGGTTTAGGAGTGTCGCGTGCATCGCACGCACCCTTTGGGAGGCACTCGCCTACCGGAATGCCCTCGTTGAGGTCATCGAGCGCGCGAGGGGGACGGGTGTCCCTCCCGAGGTTCCAAGCAAGACGGAGGTCGTACGTCAGCTGTGGCAGACATACAGACTGCCGGTTAGGGGAGACGAGATGGTGTGGAGAGACCAAGCAGAGGGAGGGGGAGAAATGAAGGAAACGAGCATAGCGAGTCTGAGGCTGTGAGAGCAGGCGATGAACTTTTTTCATATCGAGAGGGAATTTAGGGAGTTGTCACTGTGATGGCGGGTGGTTTGTGCATGCAATGAGGGAAATTTCCTCCGTGAGGGTGAACCGCATCTGTGACCCACTCTGCCTCCACGCAAATGGGTGTCGTCAGGAGAATCTCAGGAAGCCGAGCCACCGGCGGCTCGCACGCCATTTGTCATAATATCCAACCAACATTTCGTGTTTCACAGCTTGCGTCCCTACCCCAGAGAATTGTTGCCATACGAACCACAAGGTAGGCGTCTCGTCGTGCCGTTCGTAACAGCAACTGGCGGGAACAGATCCCTCAGATTTCCTTTCATTCTCTGTCCCTGCCTGTATGTTTTTATTGCAGATCTCCCATCGGAGAGTGCTTAGCGATGTCAACCCCAGCGAATCCCGTCATCGACCTGACCGACGAGTCAGAGGACGCCCGCCAGGCAGAGGTCCTGGATGCCCGTCTCGCCCGGGAGCTGCGGGACGAGGAGGTGGCCTGGAAGCTGCAGGCAAAGGACATGGCCGATGGAGACTGGGATGGTTCACTGATGGATGACCGAGATGGGGTGGACGAATGGGGTGGGTGCAGGGCTTTATTCTGTCTGGCTTTTCAAACTGAGATATGTATATATTAGTGACGCCTGCCATTAGTGTCTTCCCCTCAAAGCGCACGAAAAATGTTGCTCTGAGCACCCAATGCCGTCTCAGTAGGAAGCTATTGAGGCGGAAGGCGGAGGCAGAATGTCTTCCTCCGCCCGAATCACATTGCTCTTCTGAGCGTCAGAGCTCCGGGAGGGAAAAAAGTCACAGTTGAGCCTCGCTTAGAGCTCCGACAAGCTGACCGTGGCGCCCTCGCACTCCTTCTGCAGCAGCCGGGCGAGACGGACAGACAGGTCCTCTGAGGGGCGCGCGTCCTCTGAGTCGAGGGTCAGGTCGAAGGGGAAGAGGAGTGAGAGAAACAAAATGCAAGGCAAAAATAATGTCCCATGCAAAAAACGGCAACACGTCTCTATAAAGGGACCTTCACAATGAGAAAAGTGGAAATATTTCTGCCGGAAGAAGGCGACAAGGTCATCGGAAAGAGCCCCACCAGCAAGGCCTGGGTGTCGCATTTTTTGCCTGGCCAAGGGTGGCTCTGTCATCATATCGTGGACGGAGCCACAACGACAACGAGTGTGTGCCGGGCGTCCGATCTGTCGCCAGATTATCAGTACGGCATTAAGCTGTGCGGCTCAGCTGCCAAGAGATACCTGCGAACACGCATCATCGGCCTTCGAGCACCGACCTGTGCGACGCGGTGCTGCCATTGTGACGCAGCCATTGGCCGTGGAGAGCTGCGCCTCACGTTTGTGAGATCCTATTGCTGGAGAGGACAGAGCCGCAGACTCGATGAGAGGCGGCACTTTCACCTGAGGTGCATGGACAGCGTATATTACTGCTCTTTGCCACCGGACGCGTTGCAATCGCTGCGTTTGCCGGAGGAAGACATAGCGGAAGTGGCGAGGCAGCTGGCGACGCCAGTGGTCAAGGACGGAGCACCTGGTGCCTCAAAGAGGCAGAGACGGGCACACGGCCAGGACGAATTCTGCGCCACTTCCCCTGCCGACATTCGGCGTGCATGTCGGTCTGCCGTGTCGGAGCAGATCCAGCGCTTTAGAGAAGAGGCCTTCGGATCCCCCCACACACAGGAAGTGTAAGTGCTGCGATATACTCAACATGAAATAGTGTGTCATTGGTGCAGACTATCGTGTCCAATCACTGGCGACAAGCTAGTCGACGACCGATTGACGCATGTCCACCACCAGGTGATTGGTCAGCCAGAAAAGTAACGCCGTTTTGACGTAGCATCTGTCTTCTCTCAGTACCCCTTTAGTTTCTGTAGCATCATCGATGGCTTTCAAACTGAGAGGGGCGTGGATCTCTCTGAGGCACCGATGACAGGCGGCGAGTTCCAGTCCACCTCTCTAAGACTGGAGTTCGCGAACTACCATGGAAAGGTGGCACGCCTCCTGCTGGTCAGCAGAATGGCCAACCAGAGCATCTTGAAGACAGGCGACGGGAAAAACACCTGCAGGTGGCCTGTCTCGCTCTTGCCAGAAGACTGTCGACTTGATGTTTCTGGTCTGTTTCTATCTGCAATGTGTCAGATGCGATGAGTGTGGCCGTGTGGTGCCCTGTGAGTGGTTCACCCAATTCCAGGTGGCGCTGTGTTATGTGTGCCGTCGGTACCGTCACTTCCTCGCCAAGACGGAGGCGATGCGGCTAGGCGCCACTCCAGAGGAACTCAGGGGGCTCACATTCGAGGAAAGGTCATGTTTTCCATTCTCCCACGTTGCAGGCCCATCATTGATTTCTTCTCTCTACAGGGCAAACCCGATATCCAGAAACTTCCCTTGTATGAAGCTGTACAGATTTGCCGACGTGGCGGCCGTCCTGCGTCTGAAATATTCATCCTTTGATGCTCTCCTCGCCGCGCTCGAGTGCCGGGCACAGGCAATGCAGCAGCGGCTGGCGAAGAAGCAGCAGCGGGACGGACAACGCCACTACGACCTGCGCAGCTCAGCCCGAGAGGTGCCGGGCCCGTCAGACACCGGTGAGGAAGGGGGTCATCAAAATGCACTGAGAGGATCTTCTTCTCATGATGCTGAGGAAGGTCATGTTGAGACGATGTTTGCGGACGACATGGTGCAGAACTGCAACGTCCCGATGCCGGTCAGGGATCGGATCAAAGAGGTCGTTGCCCCTTTCTTCCGGAATGAGACGAAGTTCCGTGTAGTGAGACAGAAGCGTCTCTTTGCAGTTCTTTTGCGCCTGTGCATGGCATTCACGAAGTGACACGTGTATTCATTGAACCGAGACGTGTGCCTTCGAGTACGAAATCATTCTGTGAGAGCCACCGCGCTGAGTTGACAGCTTGCCGCTGCATGATCCGCAAGATCTCGGGCTTCGCCATCTGCTGGCGCCAACGTAGCGCGCCCGGGAGGCTCACAGAGGGAGGGAGTCGAATGTTTCACCGGAAGACTACTGACGGGATCTCCCCTTTGAGACTGAGATATGCAATGTACAGTAGACAAGCACCACACAGCATTGTGTCTGTCGCTTCGAAATAGCGGGTTGTATGCAGTCCCGTCCAACAAATAGAGTTACGTACAGACACGACCAAATCATGTATGTCAGACACATCTCTGTAACACGTCATCAAGGACTCCTGTCTCATGATCCATGAGGGAGATAGCCTCGTCAGTGTGGCAGCTGCTGTCTGTCTGTCTTCTTGCCGGCGATTGCCGCTTACTAATGCGACCAAGACGCCTCAACCAGGTCATCAAGAACTGCCGTATGCCCTCTCGCGTCAAACAGTGCCATGCAAATGTATGACCCGCCAATGCAATCCTCCTCGCCACTTGGTCATGCTGCCGAAACCACTTCACCCTTTCCACCAATTCCTTCGACGTACTGAATTGGTGGAGCACACCATTTCTCTTGAGCAGTAGGTCGTAAAACTGAATGACCACAGGAACAGTGAGTTGAGACAAGCCTACCACGGTGCTCAGTGCCCATTTTACCTGAGCAGCCTCAAAGCTGCGTGTTTGCTGAAAGATCACGGATCCAGCTAGCAGCAAGAGGCGCAGCCGGGCTGACCAGGGGCCGATGCCAGGGAGATCCAAAGCATACTTATGCTGAAGGAGCTCTTTCTGCCACTCGTCTGCGCTAACGGGCTCTGGACGGCAAATATGCCTAGCGATACATCCCAGCTCCCTGCGCAAGCAGTATAGAGGTCGCGTGACAATTGTATAGAATATCGCACACCCACCGTTGCAACTGTGCCGCCTTCTCCGTGCAGTTATTTCTCCACCTCTTCTCCTCCCCGGCGTCAGAAATGTAGAGTTTTCTGGATAGCGGCGGCTCCAGCACATTCACTTCGCAGGCGACTTGCAGCCTAAATGGATCGTTGTTGCGCCCTGCATGGTGAATGATTGAATGAGTGAATGAATGAGTGAACGAATGGTTGAATGAGTCATTCACTTGCCGATGAAGAAAACGCTTTCCCTTTTTCTGCTCCAGGCATGTGACCATGAGTCAGGGGAAGAGCCCTTGCCATAGAGTAAGCTCGAGAGGGTCTGTCTGGTCAATGCCTCCTCGTCATTGTTGTGGCTGTTATAGGGAATCGCCGGAATATCCCACGTCAGGTTGATGAAGGAAGACTCCGATAATAACAGCGGTCGAGGACTTGTCTTGTTGGCTGGATCGATGTAGAAGTCATCCTGCTGGCAGAAGTCACCCCCAGTCATCTCTGCCCACCTGCAGAAATGCCACAATGACCAGATAGGGCCAGACGCTGAATGCCCACCACATCTTCGGGCAGTCCTCAAAATGAGCTGCGAACGCCGCATCGCTCACAGTCTCCCCATTCTTCCTTGCGTGATGCAGGGCGTCAACAAGCCTTTGGATAAAGTGCGTGGTTTTGACATCCATCAGTTGGTCGCGGCTTCGCGGTTTGCAGTCAGACAATGGGTGGCAGTAGAGGCTTCCATTGATGACACTCAGGTACAGAGGCTTGTACCGATAAGAGGGAAACTGCACCGCAGCTGCCGCGCCATCTTCAGTAAGGTCCAAATCTCGCAGCGATTCTCGCTCAAGTCGAGCGATTGTGGGGTTGGCATCGAGCGTCTCGTCCCAGAACGACTCACAGTGATTCGCAAGCAACTTAGCCGTGTTGAGCCTCTTCACAAAGGCATTGAGCCTGGTGACGTTCACCGGATCAGGTACAGACAAGCCGTCCCAGTACTGAAACCTGCCATAAATAGAGATATCTATTCCATCGCTCCATAAATACAAAAGAAGGAGAACAGTCAAAGTAACAAATAGGAAGACCGATCCAAGAACAAGTCTGCGCAAACAATGCATCGAGTGGAAGGGGATCTCGGTGTTGGGTTTGGTGCGTTTCACGCAGAAGAAACGGAGTTTCCCCGAGCGGTTGTCCAGTGTTATTGTCGTTTGGCACTGACTGGCAGCCCTCACTGCTGGTGGGTTTTCTCAGGTTGGTATCAAGAAAACCACCTGGAAAAGATGGTGTACGTGAGAATTAAAGATCTAGTCTTTTTAAAATATTGATGGATGCGATGATGCATGTGGAATGCGTACGTGCTGTTATTTCTGGCTGGCTGGTGATGCAGGTGATGGATGCGACAGCATGTGTGAGATTGAACAGTGAGGTGCCAGAGTGCTGGATTGGGTGCGGTGCGCATTGGCGGTGCGTCATCATCACTGTATCTTGGGCAGTAGAGGCGTGCGTGATTTTCGTCATTGGCCGGACACGAAACCATGCATCCATGAGGAGTCAAAGGCTTGAGTCACTCGACGCTTGAGAGATCATGTCTCGCTTCGTTGATGCTGACGGCACGCTCACAAGGTGCACACTTGTAGGTACCGTGCGAGTGCTCGTGCATTGAAACGATCTATCGTGAGATTCTGTAACGTCAAATGAGTGCTGACACTTACGTCCTCTGGACCCCTCTCCCTTGGTCTCTCTTAGCCATTGTGCAGTCCTGGCCGCCAACAGGAGTGGCGGGTATATGCGGTAGGACTTGCGTGGCAAATATGATGAATTGAGCAGATGCATGGACATGGACAGGGCTGCCGCATGGCAAGGCAAACGAATCCTGAGGAAGATGCCGCCTTGATGCGCTCTCTCCAGTTGTCACTGCTCCCGACGTTCTTCATGGTGAGTGTGGTGGCCTCGTCGATGCCCCACTCTTCTGCCATGCGGACCAATACCATGCATACAAACGCTCGACGAGTTCGAGAACTGTCGAGACGCTGGCTGTTGCAATTGTTGAGAGTCTTGACGTCCAACATTGAATCAAAGAAGGAATCGACAGGATAGAGAAGACGACGAGACAACAACCAGGCAGATCCTTCATTCATTCAGTCGTGTTACCATCGTCCAGACCAGATGTTGGTCAGACGACATATAGCAGGAAGGGGCCTCACGAGCCATCACACACGCCACCAAGATCGGAGTAGCAGGAGAAAAGTCAGCCTGCCGGGTGAATCCTTCCCCAAAATAGGGCAACTCCTGTCCTTCCTGTACAGATGAAAGAAACATCCATCATAAACTCATACGATTCCATACAGCCCGGCTGGTCGTACGAGAAAAGGCCCCTACAGGGCACCACGAAGCAGGTCATCAAGCAGCCAACCAGCCACACCCCACGCCACACGAGAGTTAACTGCTGACTGTCGGTCGCCCACGGTACTGCACTTGACCGAGGCAGTCCATCCTACCGGCACGCACGTACAAAAGTTCCCACAATGGGACCCACATCAATCCATTGCCGAAGCCTATCGGGTAATGTCCCCCTTCCCTCCCTCCTATTCAGATTCAAACTCCTTTCGACCATGTCTATCTGTCAGCCATCAGCGGCACTAGCAGACAGATGTGTCCAAACAGGTCTGTCTGTAAAATTATCTTCCATGCAAAACCATATGCGCCCGCATTCCCCCATTCCGTGCAGAACTAATCCACCCCCAACTGCAAAAAGACGGCAGTCGCCATGTGTGACTGTGCCTCGGTCATTTGTGTCATTGCAGGGGAAGAACAGCGGACCTCCTAAATGACTGCCCATCCCCGCCCTACACCCTGCTGGTCACGCTCTGCGGCGTGAAAGTATTGATGCAAGCCTTCTCCACCGCCCCGGCCTTGGTTTCAGCTCGCCTCTTCTTCACACAAGGAGGCACAAACAGACCAAAGGTGGCGACCGCCAGCACAGCAGCTACAGTGACGGCCAAGATGATCCAGATGGGCATGTGAGCCTCCTCGACCTCTGTCGCCGCCTCCTGGTCAAGGGCCATCTCAGTCATGTCGGCGGCCTCCTTGGCGGCAGAAGAGAACATCTTGGTCGCGGTCTCGCCGATGTGTCCAGATGCGTCGGTGGACGCATCCGTCTGTAGTTGTCTTGTGGCTGTCTCATCGGTGTCCTCCTCCTCGCCCTCCAAAAGCAAGAGTGGCTCGTCCTCCTCGGGCTCGCTCTCGGCCATGGGGGCGGGGGTGGTGGCCACCTCGGGGCGGTGAGCCGACGAGCAGACGACCCCGCTCATTGCTGTTGGGTCATCGATCTCCCGCTGCAGTAGACACACAAGACATATGCAAGGAAGCCTGCATATGCTAGCTAAGCCGCACCTCAGGGGCATGGAAGCCGCTGCAGTAGAGGGTGGAGTTGGCCGAGAAGACCGAAAAGAAGCGGCACACACTGCTGTTGTAGTGCTCCACACACATGGCCGCGCACTTCTGCAGGGAGTCGCTCTCGTCGGCTATCTCGGTCGTAAAGGAGCCGAATCCTCCCGAGTATCGCTTGCCGGGTGCGTTCATGACGCCCACTGTCTCGCACACTTTGCCCTCGAGAAGGTAGGTCTTTGCTGGGGGGTCCCAATCGTTGTAGACCTGCGTGACGGGCAGCACGTTGAGCTCGTCGTGAGGAATGCTCGAGCTCGGGGGTGATGGGTTGACTTTTCTGCCCTTTTCGGTCATGGACAGGGCCAGGTAGCTGCCGTCAGACGTAGGGTCGTGGTCCTCCGACTTGACGATGACGGCGTTGTCCGGCGTGAAGTGTGCGTAATTCACGTCGAACGTGTGTGCGCCGATCTCCCACCGAGTCGTGTTGAGGTGGTCGAACTCGTCAATCCACCTTAACGTGAAACCTGAGCGTGCCACACACACACACACACACAGAGAGAGAGAGAGAGAGACTCATGACACAAGTCCTTGATATGTGACCGTCGTCGAGGAAAGCGAGTGTTGTACCCTTTGTAACGTAGCCATAGTCGTATGCTTTGACGAAGTCAAAATAGATGGTCAGAGGAAGAGCGGTGGCATCGAAGCGCCCGACCCACCATTCCGCCCAGAAGGGCTCGGGGTCGCACGGCCACAGGGAGATGCGGAGATTCATTCGTTCGACGAGCTGGGCGGGCTGGGGACTGCAGGTCTTTTGGTCGGCTCCCTCAGCCTCACAGGAAACCTCCATCCTGAGCCTGCGCCCGTCGAAGTACCACGCGACATACTCGGGGGTCCACTCAAAAGCAAAGTCATGGAAGCCTTGCTTGACGGCGGCCGTCTGCGCTTCGGTATCGAAGGGATGGCCCGCGGCAGCGAAGAAGGAAGATCTCGTTGATGTCTCGGTCAGTATAGTTGCCGGTGATGATGTTTGTCTGGATGGGCGCCTCGCCGTGGGGGCCCATCCCATGCACCTCGTAATCGATCTCCTGCCACGACGCCCCCGCCACCTTGTCGCTGTCGTTCTTGTAGAGAAAGAAGGTCGCCACAGTGCCGTCCACCTCCAGACTCGGCAACATTCGGGTCACAAAGCGACCGTGCCTGAAGGCATCTTTGCTCGTCAGCTAAGCAGAATCGTAGCCCCGGCCACACTCCCCCACACACGTCCCGCCAACGCCGGGACAGAAGCATCTGTCCTTGTTCATCTTGAAGCCCTCAGCCGTCTCCAGGACGTCATCGAAAGTCGTCACAGCCTAAACAAAGGACGAAAGGCAGGGACCCGCAGGGAGAGAGCACACAGCGAGTGGGCGCCGGAGGGAGTGGGTACCGCAGGAAACTACCTGTCCTGCGATAAGGGCAAGGCGACAAGCAGCGCGAGCAGGACCCTCATGGCAGCTCTTTGTTGACTCACGTGCGATTTGATGATTAGATAGAAAGCAGATAAGTGCTTGCACAGTGTACAGTGTACACTGCCGTTCCAAAACGGCCGTTTGGCCGTTTTTTCTTTTTGTACCTCGCCCTGCTCGATGGCTAAGCGCGCTGTTCGCAGGTGGGCAGGACTCACATCAGATATCGCACTTTCCTGGTGCAGAGACCATGCATACGGGGCAATCCGACAAACATGCCAGCACCAAGAACCGCCCGTCGACACGCGTTCGCCATTTTGGCGGTGCCGCATCAGTCTTCAGGTCGGGCCGTTGCGTCGTCAGCTTTTTGTCAGGAGAAAAGACTGCATGATGATGTTTCGCTTCTGATACGCTGTTTGACAACGGGCTGGGGGAAGTAGGAGACCCGGAAGTAGTCGCCGCTATCGCGCTCTTCCTTCCCATCTGCTCGGCCTATTGCCCCAATGTCACGGTGCCCCAATATCACCGAGAAGCAGGGAGGGACCCGGCCACTTACGCCTGCGGTCCTTGCAGGAGTCAGCCGACCCGCAGCCCTTACCGACGTCCACCCCAGACCGAAGGCTCACCTTGTGTCGGGGCAGGGCTCCATATATATACATGTGGGTACAGATACATACATACATCGACTCGGTGCAATCCTTTGAATCCAACGGTACGGCCACATCCAGACAGCCAGCCATTTATTCCAGACTGCTGCTCTTTGTCGTGTTCACCCATTTATACACCGGTGGTCTGCATATATATATAGTGAGCACATGCAGACGGGCCCGCACCCTGTACAATGTGTGTGACACTGTGTGTCGCCATGTTTGCAGCCATGTATAGCTGTCCCACTGATCCACCAGCACGCATAGATACGTCAAACAAGCAATGAAGTGCTCGATGGTGAGCAGTAAGAGGATGCATCACAGAGACAGTCAAGAACACGATTGTGCACTGTGTCTCATTGACAGGATGACTGAGAGCGGCGTGTCATAACGGCACGCGAGTGAGAGTGACCGCCGTACGTGCACAAAGCAACAAAGCAGCGTCGGACAGTGAACGAGAACCAGACTGAAAGCGGTGTGTGTGCGCGGTGTGTGTGCGCGTGTGAATGGACTGACTGAATGAGGTGCAATGGTGTTTGAGGCACAAATACGTCTATGCCGGAGGGACCACACACAGATGGGCACCTGCAAATCAGAAAAGAGCATTGAATGAATCGACGAAGCGATGAGTCAATGGAGCATCGCGCGCAGACTTGCATATACAGTCCGGACCGTGTAAGTGGGTCAGTACAGGGCTGACCCACTTACGCGTTTGACCCGCTTATACGTACTACAGAGCTGACCCACTTGTTTTCCAGCGACTTTTGGAGTGATATCTCGCTGTGAATGAATCACAGGAGCCTCTCAGAAGCCCATTGACTCTTTTTTTCTCGCTCAAAGTCACTCAAGTTTACGAAATCCGTCGATCATCTCAGAAGATGACAATCAAAATGTCTGTATTTCTCGGTGGGATCACACTTTCATCGGTCCGCTCTTTCACAGAGAGGTTCTTCATCGTCTTGCGGTCATTTTGAGCCATGAATGGTCGGTTTGGATGGCTGATTTGAGTCTCTTTGGGAGGTGACCCGGTCATCCGGTCCGTTTTTGACTGTGTACAGAGTGATCGGGATGGGCTGACCCACATACGCAACTGACCCGCTTATGCGGTGACCCACTTACGCGGTCCGGACTGTACCACACTCAAGTACGAGACGATAAACCATCCCGACGGCAGCACGGCAGAAGTGCTTGTCGGTGCGACATTTCAGCCGGAGCCGCTCATGATGAGCTTGAGGCGAGTTTATGTGCACCTGATGCAGCAGTTGGCTTCCACCTTAGCCATTGCCATCGTCCTCGTTGCCTTTGCTTTGATGCACGCGTACTCGTGTACGTCGAGCATTTTTGGGCCGGTTTTTGACATCTTCCGTCGCATTATATTGGCTCTCGCAATACCATTCTTTGCCGTGTACGTCACCGACGGGACCGACCTACAAAGAAGGCTATCGCGGCTGAAGAACGAGTGGATCATCTTCCAACATTGGCGCTCAATCTACTATTCTCCATTGGCCACCAGCTTCATTTCGACAGCCAAGAGCGCAAAAAAGTCATTGGTCCGATCATGTGGGGCTCAATTTGTGCAGCCGTCTGTGTGTACCTCCGTCGCGCTGCGGGGTCGCTGGGTATTCGGGCCAAACGACAGTATGTCATAAGAGCCACAGCGCATTTCGCGATGGCGTACTCAATGGCCTGGATTTGGATCTACGTTCTGTCTCCAAGCTACGCTGCTGCAGCATCTACTGACAGGGATCGATTCCTCATGGCCGTGATATATCTGGCCGTCTTCTTGCCCCCTATCGGACTTGTCAATAAACTCGTGCGGTCACTCAAAGTACGAAGTGAAACAGGCTGAGACACAGCCACAGAACGACAAACGACTTGGTTTCGCACGACCCAACGTGTGTTCAGGAGGGACACCCCACATGCAATTCGCTGCTTCTTACGATGCCTGCCATGGCTTACGTCCTCTATCTACGTCAGTCACCTCTTCATGGCTGACACACGTCCAATAATGTCTTTGATCAGGCATCCTGCAAGCGGAGACCGTCAACCTGAGCAGCAAATTGGTCTACAGCGTCTTAATGTCAATCTTTGACCTGATCATGGACATCTCCTCCCCCTACAGTGCGTGCGTCACACATGATAAGATAAGTGAATTCTTCTCAAATGACGTCTTTTGCTGTGTGTATGCGTCAGCGATCCTGATTTATCTCTGGGCCAGGAGGCTTGTGAAGGGTCGCTGGAATAATAGCTTGATGGACATCACAGAGGGTGAGGAGGCTGGTAGTGGACGACCCACTTACATCGACAACGATGCTAGGCGCCGGAGCTCAATTATGGGCTCAACGCGCTCTCTCAGCGACACACAGCCGGGCATCGGTCCGACCGGAGGGTTGCAGTCGGCCTTGGCCTCACTTGAAGTGTCTCCAAGGTATATCCGGTCATGATACATAGTGAAGCAAGAGATACTGTCTGTGTACTTCAAAAGGTACCTACGCACCCTCGCTGACCAATCCACATCTGGTCCAACTGCGAGCTGATGGCCCTGCTCTTCACCAATTTGAGTGTGCTTTCGCTCCAAGCTTATGCAGGCGCATCATGGAGGGAGCTTGTGGAGGGAGGCATGGGTTTGATACTGCTGGTGGGTATCGAACAGCTATTCGAGCTGTGCGTACTGTGTGTCATGATAAGATGGAACAGCCTGGCCGTGCTGGCTTCCCATGAACAAGGTGTTGGCCGCCGCAGATTACTGATATTGCTCGTGGCCGCCATGTCCTGGTCAGGCGCAACTGTCGGCCTTCCCGCTGACTGCATGTGTATGTGGTTCTTGTCTGTCTCTCTGTCTGTGTGTTCGTGTGTGCAGCATCTTCTCGTGGATGCCGTTTCTCCGCATGTCTGTGCAGCGTGCAGTCAGCCGCACAGTTGCGAAGCCCCGATTTATGGTGCAATCCGAGTGGTCCGACCCGGCTGCGTACTGCCCCTATCTTTCGAATGCTTTAGAATGAATGCATAGGGAGCCGGCTGCCAGCGGCATGCTGGGCAGAGTCTTCGCATATGTCTCGCGCAAACCGAAGACTACTGTCTGGCTCATGTGACGTGCATCATGGTGGCCCGTCGCAATTGCATGTATGAGGGGCGGGGCGGCGTAGGACGTTTCTTTGGCGCCGATCGAGAGACATAGGAGTGAAGGTCCGGGAAATGTGGCTTCTGTCACTGTTGGAGATGAGTGTGAGACATGCTGAGTTTGTTGGAGCCACCGCTTCCTTGAAACCAGAAGGCTGTGAGCGGGTTACGCACGATTACGTAGGCAAATACGTCATGCACTTGTCGACGTCACGTTTTTGGACAAAGGGACATCCATCCATCCATCCATGATGTCAAACGCTTGTATGCATATGTCTCTTGTTGTACAGTCCGGACCGCGTAAGTGGGTCAGTACATGGCTGATCCGCACGAAGAGGCAGGTGGCCCGTCGAGTTCGATCCGTCTGCGGCCCGGATGATTCGTGTCTCATGGTTTCTACCATTGATATTTCTGTGCCTTGCTTCTCCTCGCTTCCTTTGCTTCCTCCTCTTGAGTGTCATCAGTCTTTTGCTTCCTCTTTTTGCCTCTTCCCGCTCTCCTGCAGGAGCTCCGGGGCAAACTCTTCCACCAGGCTGTAGGCATGTGTGTCGTTCAGCTGCCGCACACCATCCGCGACGAATAGGCAGTACTGCGCGTCGTCAGGGAGGCTGGATCTGAGCAGGTTGAGGGACGGGTTTTCCTCCATCTCTTTTCTTAGCACCTCTTTGTCTTCGCTCGTCACGAGCACCAGATGGGCTGATTGAATGAGGCACATGATCTGTTTGGTGACACACACACCAGGAGAGAGACACACACTTGTACCATCAATCAAGGCAGCTGAGCGCGTACTGAGTCCATGTAATGACCTGGTGGGCCGTGCTGCCTGGGGGGTAGCTGCGGTCGATGGTCACTGATGGGGCCAGACGGGGCAGCAGCTCTTTGGCTTGGGGGTTTCACGGGCCGCCAGCAATCCTCTCTCCCTTTTCCACGCACTCACGAGTCATCTTTTCGACTTTCGGCCAAGCCTTGAGGACGTCGAACACTATGCGCAGCCCGGCCAGGCTCTCGTGCTTTACGCCCTCGACCGTTCTGCGGCGGAGCTGCTCGAGTTGCTCGAGTGTGGCGGCGCCATCATTAATGTTGACGTCGAGGATCCTCTTGTAGATCCTGTGGATTTTGTTGACGAGATTGAATTCGGCGGTCGGAAGAATGTCCGCGTTCCTGTCAAAAAGAGAGCTGGTCATCTTCTTGCATTCTTCGATGCCGTCTTGGTCCGTAGGAGGGGCATGCTGGAAGCCAAAGGATTGATAGTAGAAGTGTGACATGCACATGCCGACGAATTGAATGGATCGATGTGCATGTCAGAGCCTGTGCATCATCTGCGCGTACCTCCTTTTGAGAGCACATACATCTCCTTGATGCTGCTAAGGTCAAAGATTGTCACCTCTGTGCAGTTGTAGGCAGGCGAAAACTGGTCAATCCATGATAACATCCCCACTAGCATTGTGTTCCCATTCAGCTTGTCGGCCTTGTTCAGACTGGACAGAGACACAATAATACATAAAAGGGCTGACAGCTTGTGTTCTCGGTCATGCACATAATACATACTCATGCACATACCTAGCCAAGTAGCAGGTACGCGGCCCCGACCACGAGCCATCGATTTCCAAAAGGCAGTCACCACCTGTCACGTCCAGCCCCTCGACCTGAGGGAGACGTCTGAGTGTTGTCGTATGGTTACGTAAGATGGAATACATACCTTCTGCAGTGACACCACTAGTCGAGTGGGCTCAACACCTCGGAGACGCAAGACTACACCGAGCGTGTCTTTGCCCCTTTCATCCAGGCTGTCCCTGAGGTCCGCCTGGATGCGCTTCCTGAACGCCTCAGGGACCTTCACAGAACAACTGCAATCGATGCATTCATTGCAGCGGCCCAGACCAGCAAGGTATACCGTCTATATCTGTTCTTATCCACCTGATGTCGATTGGCTCCTCAGGGAGGTTCTTGGGCGGTTGTGAGCAGCTCACCAGATCCCCCTCCGCGACACGAGACGAGGAGACTTGTTGACACAGCTGACAGAGGATCAGGGGCGATGCAGAGCGACCAGGTATAGAGAGCCATCGGGATCCGAATCATCCGATCAACGGGATGAAAGCAATGGGATGAGGACTTCACGGCTGCTCGTAGAAACGGGGGCGGGGGGGGGGCGTGTCTCGGCCGCGGGACCCTGAAACCCTTAACCCTGAAACCCAAACACGGCTGCAGATCCGGGCGGTTTTAGGATGTCACACTAACCATATGGGCGATGACACGTCACAGCCGTGCATCGCCACCACCCTCCCCAAGCGACGCAAATTCCACGTAACCGACAGCATGGCCGCTGCAGCAGCCCATGGGTGGGGGGAAGGAGACGGGCGGGCCGGCACACAGCCAACTCCACTCTACCAGCAAGGTGAGACTCATCAACGAGGGGGGGAGGCGCTGATTGATGGACTGATTGATGCGTGGTTTCATGTGTGCAGCTAGCGCTGAAGAAAGACAACATCAGTCTAGAGTCACGGGTCAGAGAGAGAGAGAGAGAGAGAGAGAGGGAGCCTCAGGGGGAAGGGACCACATCCACACGCGCACTCTTTGCTTGCTTACTTGTCGTGTATGCATTGATGAACTTCCGGCAACGGCCCTTAGACGCTTTTGAATGGAAAATTCAAATCCCTCGCACTTCGACGCAGGAGAGCTTTCATATCCTGCACCGAGTATAGCTGCTGCCGTGCACCTGCCAGAATGGCCAGCGAACTTGGCCAGACTGACCCTGGCCAGATTAACGGCATCCTACGCGGTGTGTGAGTTCTTTCTCTTCTCTTTTTCCTTTTCTTTTTCTTTCCTTTTCTCCCCATAGCATATATAAATGGGAGCGGGCAATTTTCTTCGTAGCTCTTGCCTCTTGCTTATGTGCAGCTGCACATCCCTGCTGTCTGACCTTGCCTCTTCTCTGACTGACGACGATGTAGCCCGACTTAACACGGACCAGTTGCTGCGGCTCTCACAGCGCGCTGCGGCCAGCAGGGCCCATGGCGCCTTTCGCGGCGGGGAGAGGAGGCTTGAGAGTGCCTCTCAAGGCAGGCGGCTGGCGCCCCTCGACGACCTCCAGCAGAGGACGCATCTGATCTACTCGCATCCACTGTCCGGGGCTGAGCTGGTCAGCGCCTACACGACGATTGCCTGGCGGGTGGGCGAGGCGCTCCAGGGAGACTCCATCTACGGCAAGCTGACTGTCACGGGCCAGGTCTCGGGCAGCCATGACGAGGGGGAGACCCTCCTGCTGCGCGACGGTGCCACTTTCATGTTTGTGCCAGCGACGCCCTTCGAGCCTGGCGAGGGCGTGATTGTGACGGTGGCGGCGGGCGTCCAGACCATCAGCGGGAGATCCCTGCCAGAAGCGACATGGGGATTCCTCGTATCTCATCGCCCTCTCGATACCTACTTTGAACCCGTCATCGCACTTGGTAGACCTGATTGGAGCAACGAAACAACGAACACAACGGAGCACAACAACAGCCGTGGGACCCGAAAAGCGACGCCACCAAAGGTAATCGAGACGATCCGTCAGGTGCAGGAAGGCTTCTTGCTCAAGGGAGGTCCACCCCCAGCGTCCAACACCACCTTTGCCACACGTCGGCAGCTCCAGCATCGGAATACTACCAATGTGAAGAAAGGCACCACGAAGCGACAATACGTGTTCCCCGACCAGCGCTATCGCACGCTTCCGGATGAATTCCCCAGTGGTACTCTGACCATCCACAGCAACAAGTCCCAGCTGGCCCCTGGCTACGTCTGGACCAGTCAATTCACAAACGATAACCACGGCAAGCTGAATATCATGATGGTGAGATGTGTGGCTGGGTGGTGTACACGTCGGGCAGGCACTCGATGGACTGGCTTCCACCTTTTCTCATGTGTTTTCCGCAGACCGACCATGGCGATCCCGTCTTTTTCGACGTGTCGCGTGTGATGAGTAAGTCACCGTTTTGTAGCTAGACGAGACTGACACACGATCGACGATTGATGGCCTCGAACAGGTTACTTCGCTCCGACGGGCGATGGCACCCAGTCCATCATGGCCGTGTACAATGCCTTCATGACCCTGGTTGCCTTTGGAGAGGACTACGAGGAAGCTGAAAGGACCAGCACCCAACATGGCCACAGTGAGTGACACACCGGCGAGACGGGAACGCGGCACTGTGAGTTTTGTTCCTGTCTCACTCTTGCAGTTGCAAATCAGCACGACTACATGATCCTTCAGAACGGCAATGGTTTATTCTTGATGTTAGGATGGCACTGTCCGCACATTGCGACCCCATGTAGATGCTCCCTCTATATGTGTTTGTTGCGCTCATTAGTTACGACACACACCGCCTTGACCTGACGAAGTTGCGGCCAGATCTGCCCGGGGCATCCAGCAGCTCATGGGCCGTGGGACTCGTGCTGCAGGAGGTGACGCCGGAAGGTAAGTCGGCCATACAGACAGACACCGACTGCCGGGCAACTACTGCGTCGCTCTCCTCTGTCCATCTGTACGCAGGGTACTGCCTGTTTGAGTGGCGTATGTGGGACCATCTGCCCAGCTCCTGGCAGGACACAGAGATCCCAGTGAGGGAAAACATATGGGACATCGCACACGCCAACAGTGTGGACGAGGGCCCGGACGGCAACTTTCTTGTGTCACTTCGCGCGCTCAACGAGGTCATCAAGATCGACAGGTACGAATGGTCGTTGCTTCCTCCCGCTGCGCCGTTGCTACCACATGGTTCCCTCTCCTCTTCATCCAGGACCACTGGTGCAGTCTTGTGGCGTCTCGGCGGAAAGCGTAGCTCGTTCGAGATAGTTGGCGACCCGAATGGTCAGTTCGCCGCCCAGCACGACGCGCGCGACCTCGGCGGCGACATCATCACGCTCTTCGACAATGCCGTCCGCACAGGAGACACCCACGCAAGGGC